GTGTTAAACGACGCATTTTTAAAGTTTCTTTTCTGTTCTTCACAGAAGCAAGGACAATAAAGCAGGGGCCCCAACAACTTTTGTATGTAGAGGTACCGGTACATGTACCAGCAAGATTTTAGAGCTTACATGTACATGTGCGTCACCAAAAAGTCTATACCAAAAATCCTTCCTTCATCTGACGCTACAAATTCCATTATAGATCTATAATGAACCTCGTACTGTACATGAGCGCTCCTCTGCACACTCGATACAGTACTGGTACCGGGTACATGTACACATGTATGTATCTTCTGGCAAATGTACAAATGTACATGTACGTAGGTAGATGAAACAGAAATTTAGAAAATGTTTCATTCATGACTATGATCTGCATCAGAACCTTCCAAAAGTTGCACAAGGCTGTTCAGGAATATTCACATATGTAGCACAAGCCCCACGAGAACAATGAATATTTTTGGATGAAGGCCCACATGGCACCAGTATTATGACCCTGACACTGTGCAGTAGTTCAACTGGATAGTAGACAATACAAACTAACGTTGTTCATTCCTGATCCTGGACACTTTGAAGTGGCTGTTTTGGGGGCATACTCATCGTGAGCTCTCCCTTTCCGTTCAGGGGAGGCATTTATTTTTCAAGGCAAGGCTGAGAAAATGTTTGGACAAGTTCACAGCCTGTTTACTTACATGTATCAACATATCTGACTCGGCCCTCATCCAGTTGAATGATCTATTAACCCTAATGATCCCAAACCAGCCAAATTCCAACACCAGGGTTTGTTGGAATCTGTTAGGATGGGTACTGCATTGGTAACCTGACATTGTTTCATTAAGGATTACGCATGCCAAAAATGAGCAGTCCAACTGTGTTTGTGCAGTTTACTACTGGTGTGTCGTTTTGGATTTGCAAGGATGAAGAAGGTTCAAGTGAATCACTCTAGGGAACTAGGGTTAGCCCAACTACCCAGTATCCATCAAACTCCAATAGCAGGTCTTGCTAGGTTTTGGCAGGTTTGGTACCACACCCAATTAAATTCTTGTTGAATTTTGTTGGACTTGGTATCAAAGGCCCAGGGTGATAGTGTTGGATTCTGTATGAGTTGGGACACATTAGGGTCACTGTGTGCAGTGTCTGGCTTGCTGTACCAAGTGTTGAACTATGCTTGATTTTTGGGAACCACGACGGTAAAGTACATACATGTACAAGAAGTCTTTATCTACCGGTAAGTAATACAGGTGATTCAAAATAGTGCGCCAAGAGTTTGCAACACATTGGCCAATCACAATGCATGAAATCTGTCGACCTGTTCCAAACACGTACTGAGTGGACATATTTTGCATGGTGCACTATTATGAAACAGCCACATGGAGGGATTTCGGCTAATAGATAAAAAATGTCACTTCAAAAAGATAACATGTACATGTAACAGTTAAAAATAAACTCCAGATGGTGTACACATTTCAATAGTCATTTGAAAGGTTTGGCAAGGTTTCAGGGAAGACCGACATTATGGCGAAAAACCTTTAGGATATGACACAGTATCATTATGCACAGTGCTACATGTAGCTGTGCCACAGCTCAGTTTTCAGAAATGGTCATCGGAAGATTTGGAAAAACAATTAATATGTTTGTGATTCTGTAATCCTCAGTTGTATTAAGTGGAAACCACTTTGAAAAAAATTTTTTTTCAAGAAGGCACAAGACAACAACAAAAACTTAAATAAAACTTTCCAGGAACATTTCCAGAAACAGTGTGAAAGCACAAGGACAAAGCCACTTAGTTAAAAGATGCCAGTGACTGCCGTGCATGTAGGCAACTCTTCTGCCGATTTCAACACAGACTACTTGCCTGCTTCTTTGCTTGATCAAACCTTCAGTAAAAACAATTAACACGTTTCATTAACTGAAACTACAATCAAAAGGGCCATAAGTCATCCTTCAGAAAGATAAACTTTCGGGCATGCATAAACATTTCCAAACTTGTATTCTCACATCCTGATTACAGTGGCATGTATCAGTAGTGTGTCACAACACTCTCTGTTGGTAACTTCAAAGAAGCTATGGTACATGCCATTTTGGCAACTTGACAAGTCGATGTAAATGCATGGTCAAATCTCAAGTTGTTCAGTAGTGAATTGCTTCCTGATGGTTGGGGCCATTTCCTCATCGACATATATGTGCAGGTATGTCAGTGGCATATGGGGGGGGGCAAGTTGCTCCTCCCCCCCCAAAAAAAAGATTTTGGAGTAAGGTTCTTGATATAATGTACATGCATTCACTTTTGTATGAGTCCTCTCCAATGTGCCTGTCATGTTCCATGTCCAATCTAGCCAATCTTGTCATGTCCAATTCTGTAAGGCCTCAGCTTTCATTGTCATGATTTGCAACTTGCTTGGCCCTGCTGAACATTTGCAATATCCTTGTATGCCCAGGTCTTTGCTGGCCTTGGGTGTGCCAAGATCACCAAGCTTGAGGGGTGAGAACCACACCACGGACACCACCACACCACCACACCACCAGAGACCGTTGATAAAAGTGTGCCAGTCTGAGTATGCCCAAGCATGAAAGCTGACATCAGAACAGTAACCAAGTTATCAACTAAGTCAACAGAGAAGTGACAGTGATATCTGATACCTTGCAACAGACAGTGCCGGTGTACCAGTATGCCGGGCAAGGCATGGGGAGTAAAAAGACATATATGGCTGGGTTTTTTATTCAGCTGATGAAGCAATATTTCTGTTCTTTCGAAATGGAAGCAAACTATGTGTACAAACACAGTGTCTTGGTTTCACCTGGCCATTTTTCAAGCTTCTACCTGTAACTGATCAAGCACTGACAAGAAGTGGCACTGAAAGTGAAAAAATACTTTAGAACAAAAACAAACATGCCAGAGTTTGTTCCTTTGGTGCCAAAGGCTACGTAAACAAGTATCTACATTGTACATGTATAACCATGTTATAATGTTTGGGCAGTAGATGACATGTACAGTTTGGACCTCCAACATCTACATGTACGTACCAATACATGCAAATAGCGGTACATTTGCACCGAAACCTGGCACGGAATTCTGGTGGCCTTTCTTGACAAAGTCCTGTCCATCAAAATCAGTCCAATAACAATGAGTGTCTATGAACTGTGGCAAAGCAAGTGGAAGGATTTTTTGACTGTCTGTGTTAATCTGTCATTGGTTCAAAGCAAGAAATATCTCCACAACCCTGACTGTCCGAAGTCTCTCAAACCATGAATACATGCAGCAAGCGATAAAACTGTACAGACAAACGAGGCATCGAATACCAATCTTGATGACTTTATCAACTACATGAACTAACACAGGTAAACAGCTAGGTACATATCTAATATGTCGTTTGAATAACTTGAAGCGGTGGACCTTCGGGTAATTCCCTTTTACGTTGTAAGTCTTGTGAAGAGTCCCAGGTCCTTCTGTTGACTTGAACTAAAAGTGCTTGCTGATACGGATCATACATGCAACAAATGTAAAGTCTCTGTACATATCAATTGTACTTTGTACATGTACATGTGCCTAACATATTGTTTTGCTACAGGATGAAAAATGTGCAAACGTACATGTACATTACCTGTACAGGTACAACTCACCAACACCTGTGCATGTACATGTACCTCTTACAATATCAACACTTCTTCCAAGTCCATACCAGGCATGTACAGTGTTTAAAGTACATGTAAATTATGTGAATTAGAAAGAACAAGTTTTTAAAGACCCGAACTTGGGTAATAAAACACTGTACTTGTAATGTACATGTATAGATATACCAGTAGAGGCCTCGAACAGTACTAGCCCGGCGTACAAATTCTAGTGAAAAATGCTCTGGGCTACCTTAACTTGGTTCCTTGGTTGCCCGGTGGGCTTGTGAAAAATTCAGAATAAGCCTACCTGTTAAACTTTTCATAAAAATATATAATGCTTTTTGTGATAATAAATATAAGATTGCAAAAACCGAATCATTGTGGATGTGTTTTTACTTGTGTTTTTTTAAATGTGATGCTCGCGCGACAGGGCGATCATTTTTTTATACACGGGCTAGTAAAACTCTAAACAGGCTAGTAAAATATCCAGTTAACTAGCCCAGTGGGCTAGCAAGGAAAAAAAGTTAGCGCAATGTCACAGTAAAATGTTTAGTTATGTGCATGTAGTTCCACTCAAAACTTTCACTTTGAGGAAGTTCACAAAAGATTTTGTTGATGCGATGTAAAAGAAGAAGGTAGGCAGAGACATGTAGGCATCGTGCACAAAATGAAGTTTAGTGCTTGAATGAGAAGCCTCAACCTTGGTTTTGTCCTCTGTTGATGAGACTACATAAAATCATTTCCTACCTCCATGATAAAACTGTGACTCCTCTCTGTCCGAGAGCTTGCGCTGAATGGACATTAAAACCTTAAACCCAGACGTAAGCCCTTAACATACGTGTGTGACCGTATAATCACCAGGTCTCTAATTTCGCCACCTACATGTGTATTGTCAAGTCTCATTGGTTTTCACAGTAAGTGACAAAATAAGGGACCTGGCGACTATACCATCAGGCATGTTACAACATGTACATGTATTACAAATTTATTTTTTAAAAATCTAGGGCCTGTTTGAAGTAACCATACTGACAGAAACCACCTCAGAAATTGTAAAAACTTAGAAATAGGGCCTAGTCATCAATACATGAGCCTCATTCCATCAGCATCCACACACCGTGACCCTCCTTAAAATAAAAATGCACGGCAAAAAATGCATGATTTGACACATGACCAAAACTTGGAAAGGCTGCATCCACGACTAGGGATGAAGTTTACGCATCGTGAGTTATTCCTCCATGATCACATTCACAGAGAGCACGAAACGACAAAAACAAACACAAACCACTGAGTGACACACACCCCGGTACCCACGCCGTATGCATGACAGGTAGAAAAGATTTCCACCCGCCGCCCACCCGGTACATATTCCACGCATCCCCTCGCACGCTTACCGTCCAGTTTCTCCATTTCGTTCGTTTCGGTCCCAGATTTCGCAGCAAATGCTCAACTTCCTGCAGGCAGAGTTACTTTATCGGCTGACTTCACATATACCGGTAGCATCTGCGGTTTGAAGTCCTTACATTCTGCTCATGGTTGCAGAGATGAGATGATGTTTTCCGGCCACACTACACTGCGGAAAACGTCAACATGGTTCTATTTTTGACACCCTGTGCTTTTTTGCGCACTCCAATGATAATAAACATGCAAAGCGCCCAATATGCAAAACCGCAAGCCCAAATTTCTTTGTAAATTTAAGCGAGCTATCGTCAAAGTCGTGCGTGTATTTTGGCCCAAAATAACGCCCAACGATTTTTCGTTTTTTTATGGTGTGATGAAATAGCGCCATCAGTTGACCACCTGTTAGTATATGGCTTAATTAACTTTTTTCGGCTCACAATTTGTTCTTGCAACGGGGAATAATTATCATTAAGATGAGGAGAATATCATTTTCTGCTCTTAATTGTAGATGTAGTTGGTTAAGTTAAAGAAGTGATGCCAGAAACTTAATCCTTTTTAGGACTGTGACCAAAGTTTGCCTATTAAGGCAGCCAAAACCATTTCAACGGCCGTTTCAAGTGCAAAGTTGTTTCTGGTACCTTGTGCAAATAACACAAAAATCCGATAATTATCAAATGAAACGCCAACAGTCAGTGTACAAATAATCATAATTTAAACTTTTTGACATAGTTATATTACAATAATTACTGTTAAGCTTGATATAGTTAATGTGTGGGTAGGCCTATTCAGCTGAAACATAAAACAGTTATTACGCGCGCACGCGTTCACGCGATCGCGAGCTAGCTATAGCTAGCGCTGCGTGAATTACACTACAATTAAGTAGTAGATCGGTTCATGGCGAACAGACAGAGGTAACCTAGAACCTTTCGCGATTATTTCGGTAAGACTATTCGTAAAGCTGCTTTATTTAAAGGTAGATTATTCACTAAACAAGCAAATCAAACACTGCATTTACAAAAGTGTGTCAACTTTCATAGAAAAATGCCAGAAATAGAATAATATAAGGGAAGTATTCAAAGCGAACGCATTATTGTGCAAGATGCTACGATTATGGATGGTGTTTCCGACACAATGTTGAGGAAATGATGGTGGGTCCTCGCACTGGCCTGTATATAGGCAGATAGGCCTAGGGTTCAATTGGCCGATATAAGATCGCCCTATTGCGACTGGTCGATCCTGCATGAAAACTGTACTTACCTTCCCTTTTTTGAACTGATCTTTCATAACAGTGAATTAGAAAGAGTAGGCGATTGGCCATTTGGCATGAATGGCTGATGGTGGAATTATCAACAAATCATGTAATAAATTTGACTGAATAGATCATGCAAAGTTGCATATTTAAGTTCGGGCAATAGGCCTGTCAACTGATTGCTTTCCAACTCCAACGTAGACACACCTAAGGTACACGTTCGCACCTACCTAGTACTAGTAGTAGGGCCTACTAGCTACTACTACAAAGTACGAGTCAAAATGGAATTTTTGATGCAATCGGTAGACCTGCACCCACTCTGTTGATCGAGCAGCCCGGCAGTTGTTGATTGTGATGAAATTAGTTGATCATCCTTTCTCACTAGTTCATGCCTTGAATTGTATCTGGTACTTGTGGCACAATCACTTCTCTAGAGTTGTACTGTAGCCTACATCAGTCGTCTTGGAAGCAGCTCCTTCAAAGTACCCACATGTACTCCAAGTCACAGACAAATTTGGAAGACTGGGAAAGAGCCTCATCACTAATTTCTCCCTGCAGTGGCTTGTCAGCCATCAGAAAATGATAACATGTCTTTAAAAAGTTGAATGGATGTAATAGGGAAAGGTTTTTCCTTAGAAAACACTGAGAATTTTTCAGACCAGTCTCCTTGAGTTTGTGCTTAGGGTGTCGTGATAACCGACGACCGTGAAGGGAACTTTCAAAGGGTGTTATATCTTTTTTAGTCTTGAGCAAATCTTAGCTACCTTTAGGCCAGATTTGTTTGTAGTTACTTTCCACCATAATTCAGAAATCTTGAAAATAATCCCAAATGCAAATCTTTTTCCCTCAGTAGAGAGTAGAGTTGTTTTGGTTCAACCTGATGGCTCAACCAATGAATGCACATTGGACTTCCTCTGTCCAGCCACTCTGTACTCCTAGTCTGACAGCGCTTCAAGGCATTGTGTCAACCGGGCGGCCTTGTTTGTTTGGAGGCTGTGCCAGCGGTATGTATTGACCCTTCACGACTCACTTCTATTCAACCTATCAAGGAAAATTTAGAATATTGACAAGAATATAATATAAAATCAGTGCTCTGAAATACGTGATTGCCAAGCTTTCGGTAACTGAGTACCCTCTTCAGGGCAAGCAGAGTCAGTTTTAGAAACTGGCCATTTTTTTTTAAACGTCTCTTGCTCTAGATGGTCCTTGTGGTGCTCTACACACTTTCTTGTAACGTACCCAAAATCTTTGTCTGTGTGTTGCTAGTAGGTGGTTTATGATCTGAAAATAAGTGGATTTTAAGAATTTTAAACACTTGCTTTGTTGCTATAAAGATGAACTTTGTATTTCCCATTTAACCGAAGCTTAAACTCAATTTTAATTAATAGCAGCATTTACAAATTATCAGTTGTTGCTATTGATCAGATTGTAATCAGGAATTGATTATTAATTGATTGATTAATTTTGGACAGTTGTGTGTTTCTTTTGATATATTGGTTTGATCCTCCCAGGCGGCCACTGGTCATGGTTGGCACGAAACTCTGTCCTAGAAGTTGTCGACAATGTCACAGGAAACAGACGTTCAGCTTTCCAATTTGGCCGTGCAATCGGTGCCAATGATGTACAGATTACATGCATCAAGGAGTACAGGTTTGTAAATTTGTTCTATTGTGGGGGAATTTTAAGTGCTTCTTTTGTTTTTAGCTCACTAAATATGTTTTAACAAGCCACCCTGAGTCCTGTAAAATCCATCACGGTGTAGGAATCAAATACTAAAATCTTCATACTTAGCCATTGCCTAACTGGGTTTGTTTCTACAGGTACAAGGATGCTACTAGCCTTATAGTTGGACTGAAGACAGGTTCCAGTGATGGAATGCTGTGCATATTTGACCCCCGCACCTCCAAAGTTGTCCTGGCTGTTGATATTCCTCAGGGTGTAAGTACAGATGAAAGTTCAGTGCTCGAGCAAACCAACTGGACATCAATTTGCACCTGAATGGGTTACGACCAAATTATGCCCACTGATTGAAAGCTTTCTGTCTAATATGACCAATGAGTAGATTTTGATACAGATAGACTTAATCTCATGTTTGAAGCGATGATCTCATCTTCTCGTCCGCTTATTTTACTTCAGGTAACATCAGTTGAGCCTGTAACCTCCGAAGGTGGCCTCAAAGCTCCAAACTTCGCATTGGGGGACCATCTCCGCCTCTTTTTTGGCATCATCGCTGTGGGAACAGAAGGGGGCCACACCTACCTCCTGGACGTACGAGTGGACGATGGTGACTGCTGCGATGAGGTTACGGCCAGGGGATCAAAGGTCATATCGCCTAGGTCGACAGATGTTGGGACAATCCGAGAGAAGGCAACTAGGAAAGGGGAGCACGTATGTCTACATTTGGACGGTGGGTCTGGCTGGCTCTTCTTTTAGCAATCATTGCATTGTGATTTTCTTGGCCTCAGTGGCTCAGGTGAACAACTTTCGGTGAAAAAAGATGGATGAAAGGAGGGAATTGACATGAAGGAGATTTAAACCTGCGACCTCTTGACTTAAAACCCCACAGTATGGTCAGTATCTACTGCACTCCTTTATCTGGCCTAGGGTTAGTGATCTCCCAATCAGACAGGTTTTTTTTAGTAACTACTTTGTTGCCGGGATTTCAGCAGTGGTGGTTTTCCGTTTTGAAAAAGACAAGCATTGAAAACCGAAAAAAATACTTTTAGAGTTTAAAATTCATCAGAATTTCATTTCATTATTGGCATTTAACCGACATATTTTTTGTCAGTAGATTTTTAAACCAAGTGTTTGTTCATAACATGAGTTGATATCAAATTTGATTGTTACTACAGAGGACAGTCACTCCTTCCGGTCATTCAACTTCAGGAAACCAGACCACTCCGTTTTGAAGAGCTTCTACCCAAGTGAAGTGTCTGTTACTAGTCTGTCGTATCTCAAACAGACTGGTTCCTTGGTCATCGGCTTCAGCTTTGGTTGCTTCCAGCTGTGGGAGTTGTCGGTGCCAGTGCTGGAGTAAGTGAACCTAGAAACCTGTGTGTAAACCTAGAAACGTTGTGAGTATTTGAAAGCTATCAGGCAGGTCGATTATCTTGGGAACTCAGGATTAAATACTTGTTTCCTTTTCACAGATACAGCAGCACCATATCAACACAGCCTTCCCCAGTCACCCACTTTGCCTACCAGGAACCAGAGGATGACCCTGAGAATTTTGGTTACCTGTGGGTGGGGCGAGGACCACAGGCCACAGATGTTGAGTAAGTGATGGAAGGGAGGCCTGTTTGTAGTTGAGCTCTCTTGTAGTCAAGGGCTGTCTATTGGAAGCGGGGGGGGAATAATTTATCAGGTCTTGTTCCCAGAATCCATATCGTGCTCAGTCAGCGTGCAACTTGTGAAATCCCAGATCAGCAAAAACAAGTCTCCAGATGAGTTGATGCAAAGGCTGGGATCCATAACGTCATCATGTCTCACCTTGGGAAGACCTGTACATCTGCAAATCCACCAATCAAGGGAACTTTGAAGGAGGCTGACCCAGATGCTCTGATAAAAACTCACCTCTGGTTAGTATCAAGACTTATTGCGTATCACCACAAGGTGGCTCATTGTTTGTTTTGTCATTTATCTTTCTGCAGCCAAGATGTCCCGACCAATCTTCATCTCTTTCAACTGATGTATACAAAGAAAGAAGTCCATGACAACTACGGACACCTCTACAAAGTAAGAATTCTGCTGCAATTGTCCAGTAATATATTCATGTATCTTTGTTTACAACTCCAAAAAATTGTCCAGTAATATATTCATGTATCTTTGTTTACAACTCCAAAAAAAATAGGTCACGATGCAAAACTGACCATTACATCAGTTATGTTTCAAATGATAAATCTCGCAAATCAACCACAATCATTCTCCCCTGAGAAATATGCACAAATCAATCACAAGCTTTTCAAGTAAACATCCAATAACCAAGCACAAAGTTATCGACTAAGATCCACAGATCAACCATAAACTCGTCAGTAAAGATACCTATCCATAAATCAACCAGATTATCATCCACTAAAATACATGCACAATGAATATCCACCATAACCACAAATCCATCCACTAAAGTATATCCACATGTACTTGTCAACTGTTTCCCCAGGAGTTGATCAGCTGTGAAGCCCGGTTCCTCCACAGCCTCACCGTGGATCCATTCAACGTTGTGAACCAGGCCTCAGAGGGCAGTCGCATCATATCTTGCTTCCCACTGGCCAGAGAGATCGCACCAGGTGCCATCAAGCAGGAAGACTCCACTTGTGATGAAGAAGGTGATTTCACAGTCACACCTTTACCCAACGTGGTTCCCTTTCGTCAAAGCTACCTTGCAAGATAGTCACTCTACCCACGTTCCTCATCTAGTAATTGGCCCAATAGAGTTACCGCGAACCTGGATTCAAGTTTTGAAGTTCAACATTTAGCTGAAAAATTGAGTCTTCAACCCTCAAAGGGTTGGGTTATTTTGGACCATCTCACAGCTGAACTGAACTCGGCTGTCACTTGTAAAGACATTCATTATCAGTACAAACTTGAAGTTTCAATTCAGTACGATGTGGGGCTTTGATGTTATGGTCGGTCAAAGGTCACGATCTCAAACAAGAAATAATGCTTGCTTGGTCCTTGACCGCAGTCTTTGGGGATTTATCTGTTTTGCCAGGTGACCATCTGGACATTGGTCTTGCAGTCTTTGTGTGGGAGGCACGATCTGACCCAGCAGATGGGCCGGAGACCAGTAGCTGCTTTCTGGGTCTGTTTGATCTGAATCGTTGGTACCATGCACAAATGCCCAAAGCAGTAAGGTAAGTTGAAACGAGGATGGAAACTTCTCCAAGGCGTTTTGTTACCTTTGTAGGGTAGGTAAGCAGTGAGTGAGTTCTTTAGACTGATTATTAAATTGCGTTTTCTTGTTGCTAGGATGTTGCCAGGGAAACAAGGGTGCTCCTTCTTTGCTTTCTATTCCTTGGACTCCATCCTTCAGGCTGCATCTCCAGACTTCCTCACGGTAAAAACCATTTCCACGCGTGCCTAGATGTCAAAATACCATACCCATGTCTGTCTTGGCCAAAGTCTAAATCCTCAAATCATGCAAGTCACGTCTTCCACCACTCATGCACACTATCAGGGTTGATATGCGAAACAGCCACTGATGAGATAGCACGTCACAAATCAATAAATATCACACTTCCTCGTTTTATATCTTAGGACCTGCATGTCAACCCAGCGTCCGTTGTTCCCTACGTCTCCTCACACGTACCAGCTCCAGAGCTACACTTTCAACCCTCAGCACTCAGCTTCGATGTTGTCTGTCTTATGGAAGCCGGGCTGGTCTCAGCTAAGTTTCTGGGACAACAGAAACAGGTAATGGCTGCAGTGCGAACGCTAATTACCACCTTGGGCGCTGTCAGAAGCTGCCCTGTGGTTTTATACATTGATGACTCCTTTGAAATAAGTGACGATTTGCCCTCGGTGCCATATTTACAGTTGACATATTATGCCTGGTTGGGCCATAAATGATCATATTTGGAACGGAGAACGTTTTAGGAAAACTTGGACACCTTTGTTGGCGGTGAACATTTAATTTTATTTTTATATTTTACCAGGTGTTGGCAGATCTTTGTCAGCAAGGACCTCCAGCCTTGCGAGAGCCCAAGTTCTTCTTCACCCGGTGCTGGCTGGCTGGACTGCTTCCGAAGAAATATACCTCAGACCAGGGACCAGCCAATGCCACGGCTGTGAGTCACGTTGCTTGTCTGTTTGGCCACCTGCTTGCCTGTCTGTCTGTGCTTCTGAGGACTAGTTAATGACATGCAAATAATGTTACACTTCTTGCCTGTTTTATATTCTGTTGGTTCTCTCAGCCTGAATGTGTATCATATGTTTATTTAGTCAAACATTAATAGTTTAGGCCCTTAATATAATTGTAAACAGAGATTTCCTTCCAAAGATTGTCCCTTTTAAGGGTTGACATGTTAACTTTAAAGTTTGGTTTGGTTGCATGTGTTTTTATACATCTCCCCAGTAGTACTGCCTTTTACATACTTGGTGTCAGACTCAAATTGGTCTCAAGTTGGTGGCTTTGTGAAAGTTTTGACATAGTTGTAACATTGCTCCTGTTGCTGACTTGCAGCAAGATCAACGTGAGGCTTTACTTACTGTCGCTGTGGAGCACAACATGGTCAACTTTGTCATTCAGTGTATCAACAGCTGGACTCATGGAGGTATCTCATGAATTTTGTTTCCTCAAACTTCAAAATATCAGTCTGTCTGTTTTAAGATGCACCTGTACCCCAAACCTTTAAATACCGTCAGACCGAGGCATACATTTTGGATGGTGTATTTGAATAAAATTTAAAATTCGGCAAAGTGAATAATTTCTTTTTGATTTTTGTGTTTCAGATTTTCCCTCCGGTTGTAATCTGAGAACCATCCTTGATTGGGCATGGGGACTGGTAACCAGCATTAAACAGTCTATTGACCACATATGTAAGTGAAAAGGACCAGACTATGATGTACGTGATACATTCAACATAAAGCATGGCACAAATTTTGCAAAAGTAGCATTTCTTTTGAATGGAATTGGAAAGTTCAAAGTAGAAATCATTTTAATCTTCACACTTGATTTCAGGTGTTCCATTTTACAATGGTGAAGGCACCCATGTGGATGACAGGAATCGACGACTGCTAGACCAGAATGCAGTGCGCTTAGGTCACATGATCACCATCATCCAGTCGCTGCTTGACCAATCAGCAACCACTACAGAACAAGGTATGCGCATTAATGAGCATTTGCTTTTCAACAATTTCCAGATGGCACAAGCTCAGTAATTGAAAAATTCATAAATAAGTTTTCATCAATTTAAATTATATTTAAGAAAATACACATAGTTTAGAAATTTGACTAAAAGAGGTAATTGCATAGAATTGTGCCAACAATCACACGAAATTATTTTTGAAAAATTCCAAAATATTGGTTTGGATTCCCAACTTTTTGTAGCTGCTCTTGAAGGTCTGGGAAATCAAAAATACTTAAAAACTCTGAAATCAACTTTGCTTTGCCTTTTATTTGGTTGATAACTTTGTCTTAGGTTTGAAGGATCTGGAAACCAAATGTAACGTCGTGACCCTCATCCATCAACATCTTAAAGCTGTCATTTGGTTTGTTAGGAGTGGACTGCTCCCAGAGTGTCTAGGTAGGCTTCATAGATCATGACCTTTGACCCCTAACCTTGTCCCGGAATCACAACGTCAAACGGCTGATTATCCATTGTAGGCCTTGTTTGGCCTGTGACTCTTGACTTTTCTTGAATTTTACTGTAATGCCATCATCTAGTTGAAAAGCAGTTTAGTGAATTTTCTTATTGCTTATGTGTTCTGCTCCATACTCTATTGTAAATGGAAAGAGAGGTTTCTGTTAAACTGATGACAGTCACGGCATAGTGACCAAGATATCAAGTTAGTTATCTTGATAAACTCCTCTGCAGTTTAGAGTTACTCAGTTTACAAAGTTTGTCAAGAACCTTCTCCATGTTGGTGTTGTATGCCATGGAGAGCCTTAAATTTCACAAGAATACTGTTTACGAAATGTGAATGGTTGATCCATTGAACTATGTTATTGTCCGTCAAAAATAATGCCACTCTCTTACTGTAAATTGATTCCTTGTGTTGGATGTTACAGATGAGCGCGATCTCTTGGAGGGCCAGTTCTACTATCCGGCCGCCAGTCTGAGGAAGATTTATGCTCGGAGAAGGTTACAACTCCAGAAAATGTGCCTGTGAGTGTCTGTATTTGGAAATGGACTTTGAGCCAAGTTGCATCAGAATATTGGTTTAAAAACTCAAGCATTGTGTGTGTGACCTTTTACCAGCATGAAGACGAGTTACAGAAATGAGTGTTGAGAATTTAATGTCACTGATGAGAGATGTCTGCTTTTACATTTCTGGTGCTAAGCGATGTTTGTCTTGAACATGTTTATAAAATCTTGCAATTTGAAAAAGTGTTGTCATCGCATCTCAACTCCAGACGGAGGAAGGGAGGTAAACTTTGATTGGTTCAAGTCGGTTGCCATCTCTGAATCTTCACAGGAATACTAGCAGTGAGAGCAATATCTTGATGATCGACGGCCTTGTCGCAGAGATCGGCTCCAAGCTCACCGCCCTCTGGGATCGTAAGGAGGAGGGAGGCACTGGGTTGTACCCGCCCCCAAGTTTTCACGTAAGTTGAACCTTAGCATATATCCATCGGTTGACCCGTTGCGTCGACGCGTAAGAATTTCCAATTTCATCACAGGAAATGCATGACAGAAACCATTAGAATCACAGATAAATCTCCCCAAATGGTACATTTTTTCTGATTCTTTGATATATAATTGTTTTTCTGTGTAGGCCCTGCTAGACATGTATTTGGTTGACACTGTTCCCGTGGTAACCAAGCATTGCATTGTGGGATACTTCCTGATGGATGTTCTTCATGTGTCGCCATTGCCAAGTACACAAAAAGAAGAGGTAGATTCTTAGATTTTGTCATAAATGTCATTTTCAAGTCTTACAGACTGATGAAAAATTGAAGTCACTGATTTTAGACTTTGGAGAAATAAATTTAAACATTTTCACATGATTTGGACTAATAAAAGCACTTTGTTTAATGTAGGTTTTCACATAGATTTAAAAAATGATTATACCTCCATCTTTTCTTACCAGCTTGGCAGGAGGATCGACAAATTTTTTCAAAGTTTTTCCCTTCCTCTTGGTGTGATAAAACTCCTACATGGCTTCTCGCTGCTTGACAGGAGAGAATTTGATGTAAGTTAGTGTTAATGTGCAGTCATTTATGAGAGCTAAGTTCTGTAGATTTTGTAAAACTATTCAAGAGATCTCTCTTGCTCCATAAAGTTAAGTTTGTTTTTGATTTGCCCCTTTTTTCAATTTGTTATATTTTGTTGTCTCTCCAGAACGCAATTGACATGCTCCTTGACCCCACCACGACCCTTGAACTTGCCCCGTGGCAACACCGCCACATCATCAAAGCCCTCCTGTACCAGGGCGAGAGCAAGAAAGCCTTGCAGTATGTCCGGACGGCCCGTCCACCCCTCACCACCAGAGATGATGTCAAGCTCTACCTGACGGTACTCCTTGCAAATGGGTGAGTTTTGAGCGAAAAAAAAAAGCTGTAGACAGTCCTCTGGATTGCCAACTTTACTCTTCCTAGTCCCAAGTCCTGTTGGTTGCTTTACTGTTACATCACAAAGGTTTAATTCCAAGAGGGCTTTTATTTGGTAGCATTTACATGATGCAGTTGTTTTCACTATAACTGGAAGTGGCCTTTGACCCTTTGTTATCTTCCAGTTTGACCGCTGAGGCATTCCACTTCCAACGACAGTATCGAGATGAAGCCAACACAGAGGAGTTACTTACTCATCTCATTCTGGGCTCTCAACAAAGTAAGGTGCTTTGCCTCAAACCAGAAGACCCTTCCTAGCTATCCCTTTTCCCCTTTGCCCACTCACTCCTTCCCAGTTCCCCTTGTCAGTGTTTCCTCTGCAAAAAGATTCTGACTTTACTGTAATTTTTTTATGTTGAACACTTCAGCCAAGACAGTGGACCAGCTTCTCAAACTTCCCTTCGATGACGAGGAGGAGGCAACCCTGGAGCGATACCTGCAAGAGTCCACTGAGCCTAATTCACAGGAATTACTCGTCATGCACTTCCTCCAGCGGGCACGCTACGTGGAGGCTGTACGGCTGAATGAGAAACTCAAACAAGAAGGACTCATGGTGAGTGTCATTCTAATTTTTTGATTTTAGTTATTTTCAGACAGCAATTTAGGTAGACCAAATTACAGTTAAGACCCCCATATTTCTCGTCTGTGTAACCACTTCTGCTTTTTCTCAACATGCAGCCATTACTCCAAGTAGATAGAATTAATTGCTGCAGTTTGCCTTGCTTAAGGACACATGCTCCTTAATCTTCTAGAATAATCACCGCCCTATGATGTAAATATATGACTGTAACATTTCATGTCGGGTACTTAGGTAGGGTTTTTCACCTCAAAGCTTTTTAAGTTTGTTTCTCTTTGTTTTGGGGTTAGGCCGACATGGATCCAGCTGCCCGAGAGAGGGCGACAGCCAGGAATGCCATCGTTGAAAGCTATGCAAGGCTTCTCCCCCCAGTCCAACGCAGATTGGCCTTTGGCCCAGAAACGTCCACCAAGAGAACAACTCTCATCCGCAGAGAGAGTGAGTCAAGTTGTTCCTGCATATTAGAGCTCTTCAAGATTTGTATAGATTTTTTTTCCTTTAGGACTTTGTTTTGTGAGCTTAACCAGTGGAAGTGGATAAGTTTTCTAAGACCTGCTGATTTGTTTGTTTACATTTCATTCCTACAGTCAGCAGACCCAAACCTCTGTCTGCTGTTATCAATCCAGCCAAGACGTCTAAAGTGCTCTCCAATGCCATGCTCATCAATGCTGTGCTAGAGCGCATTGCAGAGGCGAGGGTCCAGACCAAGCAGGAAGAAACACCAATAAAAATGAGGTAGTGGAAAGTCTTTGTCTTTTTGGCCTCAGCACTGCAATTATTGAATTGAAATTGAAAGACAAAAAAGGTCATTCACAGAATTTACCTACAAATTCTAAGAATTTTTTCCTTGGTTTTTATCTCAGTGTTGCTGAGGAGCTGGAAGATGATTTGCCTTCAATGGAACCTTTTGTGGGCACTCCCATCACCCCACGAGCAAAATCAAGATTTGGGTATTATTATTCTCATTATTAATTATTTCTGGTAATGACACCGAGGATTCCTCAAAAGCACCGTAGACACTCTACATGTGGCTTGCATGCCTGAAGAAACCTGTAGAGAGGAGACAGTTACAGTTTGAGAGGTGGGAGGAAAACCCCCCGGAAAGAATATTCTGGGTAAAACCCACAAAATAAAAACCTGATGCACATGTGGACAAAGCCTGAGCCAGGAATCAAACCTGGACCGTAGAAGTGGAAGGCAAGGCTGGAACCACTACACCAACCTGTGCTTGACCATCCTCAAACAAGATGTGATTTAAGACTGGATTGCTTTTGTGTCAGTATTGAATATAAAGCTCTATTTATACACTTACCGCGCCTGTAAATTTGCCCCTGTAGTGAAATGTCCAGCGTTATCTACCCTGAGGTCACAGGGCGGGACATCAGCCCCTGGAAACGTCAACCATCACCAACGAAGACACGGCCCTACCTGCAAACGCTGGCTGGAGATACCTCGATCAGGGTCACAGAGAAGTTTGCAAGGTATCAAGAGATTTCTCGAAGTTTTCACGTCCAGATTTCCAGAATGCAGCAACAAAATGATACTATCACTTCGTGTGCTCAGTTAGCTTCCACAAGTTGACGCGGATTCAGGCTTTTCCCCTTTATCTCTCTCTTGTTTGACACAACACACACACAGCCATCCTTAGGTTAGGGTCGCCCCATGTAAGCTCTTGCAACACACCCACCGTCAGTGATTCTTCATGTTCATTGAAATTCAACAGAGTGTGTGCCATGGGCTTTTTGCCAAAGTAATAGCCTCTCATTCAACCAACGATAGCAGATACATGTGGGTAAATTCCTGTGAGTTTGTTCAAATGGATTGGTAGAGTACTAGAGTAAACGTTTGGGTTGTTAATTTGCACTTGTGGATTTCATCTTGACAGCATTTCCAAAGCTCCAGCAAACTACACCAGTGCCTCTGCTCTCTCTTTGCTTCAGACGCCTTCCGTTACAAGGGTGAGTCTGTCCATTTCTCTCTGTCTGTTTAACCATTTTCGTTTTTGTTTCCTGGGAGGACATACAGAAATGTCTTCCAGGAGTGCACTAGTGTATTTCTGTGGTGACAAGCAATTTTTTTAGTTTATGTTAAATTTGAGATGGTATCTTTTAACATCCATCCACATTTGTGCCGCAGACTCCCAGCAAAGTGAGGAATGACGGGACACCGTCTACGCGCTCAATACCATCCATACTCAAAGTGCGGAGTACCAGCCAGCGAATTACCACTGAAGTCAGAGAGGACAAATCCAAGAAAAATGTCTCTAGTAAGTGCATCTGTAGAATTTATATCAGTAGATAACTAAGTCATTGTGAGTGACTGATTCAGAGTTTTTCTGTGCTATTTTCTGAATGTTCAAAAAGGATTTTAAATCCAATTTATATTTGTATTTTCAGGAACCAAATTTGAAATAGACCTTCCGACGCCCCCATCTCTGACAAAGAGTGCATATGGTAAGCATAGAGATTTACAATTTAATCCCTCCTTTTGCTGTAACGGTCAGAAAACAGTCCAAAATTCCTTCCACTTCCCCTGTACAGTACATAGACATATCACATGTCACTTGACTGTTTTTGACTGATGGGACAACTGTGTTGAGAATGCATCTTTGCGTAGGAGGGTTTTAATTGACAAAATAATTCTACAGAAACCAGGGCTGCTTCCGAATCTCTTGTCTAGAGCTAGGTCTAGGTTTTCACTCCATTAGAAATGCGTGGAGACGCGTAGACAATAGACCTAGCCGTAGCTCTGGAAGCCTTTGGACACGGCCTAGGTTAGAGGAGAGCCTATTCCCTACCGAGGCAACTACAACCCAAGTAGAAGGGACAATGAGCATTCAGACATTGCTATCATTTTGGATAAGGTCAGATACTGACACATCAATGAGTTTGATTTTTTTGTTTGGATAGCCAAGCCATCAGAACACCAATCTGACAAACCTCCTGGTTTGCCCAAGCGGATCAGCTTTGCAGACGACACGAAAGCCAGAACACCATCTCCAGTAGCTGTCAAAATGTGCGTTTCAAGAACATTGGATTTTTTAATGACAGATAGATTGCACATCCCAAATTTCCCAAAGAGGGATTCCTGTGCACTTTAACTTCCATGGTTCCTGACTCCCTTAGCCAATCTTGCACGCTCATCCAAAGTGTCACTGTGGATATCAGGGATCTGGGCAGGGATATAATATTAAAGTTATATTCATCTCTTAATGAAGGATTGTAAAGTGATTTAGAAGTTTGCCAGAACAGTTTTGTTTCACATTGATTGAGATTGATGAGTCTTTTAATAACTGTACCAAGACTGTTTAAGAAATTAAAACATCAAATAAAGGATTGAAATTATCTTTTTCCAACAGTGAACCAAGCCCGATGGACACAGAAGCTTCATTTGACACACCACCCCCTGTTGAGTCGCCCTCTGTTTACCCCAGCCTTAATGACCTAATGTCCCAACCCTCTGTGCAGGCTTCTCTAACCCTTGCACAGCCCTCCCCACCCCTTGGGAAACCTTCCCCACTGTCGGGGCAAGCATCCCCACCCATGGGGCAAGCATCCCCACCCCTTGAGCAGAGTTCCACCAGCCCTGAGCAAAGCACCACGTCAGACCAACCCACTCCACCTGGACTTCAATCCCTCACCCAGCAGTCAGCTGACTTCCCGAATGCAGCCACCACCCAAGGGGGATTTGATGTATCGCTAGACGTGTCACCCAGTGTACGAACAAGTCCCCCTACAGAGAAATTTGAAATCACATCGGGAACAGGAATGTTAGTTGATGATGAGATCACATTTAATTTTGGAACACTCAAGAATTTGGAGGGAGAAATGGATATGGAAGATCTAGCAACAACTGAGGAAGGTAAAAATAAATAGTGATCACACTTAACTTTTATTCTGGGAACAAGTTGAAGAGTATTTAAATTTGTGGTTCAGTCTGGCCCAGTTTGTCGAGTGTTTCCTTTTTTTTGTCAGAATCTCCAGAGAAGTCGCAGTATCAGATGTCATTTGCTGCTGATTTTAATGTGGAAGATGAGGATGTAGGTGAAATGGCAGATGAACAAGAGGATTTGGAAGACGCAGAAGAAGAACAGGAAGATGAGGAACTCAGACCATTAACAAAAAGTGATCTGATCCCCTCACCACGCCCGCCATTGAGACGCATGGCCCCTGACACAGCCACGCCCCGCTCCATACCCACAACTTCTCACTTCACTCCGTCGCTGCTGCTTTTGAGACAGCCCAGCCCATCGCCCCCTCTAACTCAGAAGGAGGAGGACGATTTTGTCACTCCTCAACAGACTCCGGAGAAACCAGATGCAGGGATGGAGTTCCCTTCCCCCTCGCCTCCTTTGCCTACCACTGAGGAGGGAAGGGAATCCTTGTCCAATTTTTCTGAAGATGCTGGAGAGGACTCTGAGGAGAAACTTGGGGCAGAGTCTGTTGAAATCCAGACCTCGCCCATGGACCTAATCGCCTCGACGGAACACCAGGAGATGTCGGTGCAGACCACTCCCGGGCTGGCCCTGCGACAGGGTGGGGCCACTCCAGTCAGGGTCCCATTTGAGGCGTCACTAGTGTCCTCCCTCCTCCAGCAGGAGCCCATGACTCCGCCCACCAGTGGGGAGGAGACGGCTGCGGAGTCTTCATCGTCGGAGCAAGTTGCCAGCCAAGACGAGGGACAAACAGTACCAGGTAATTGGACGCCCGTTGACTGTTTGTCCTGGGCAGTTACTTGATCCGATTCAAATTGTCTCCTTGCAATGTAAGCTTGCCTACAAGGTAGCTTTTTCTTCATAGCAACAGCATCAGGTAGGATTGGCATAATGGTGTGCGCACACTAGTTTGTTTCCCAATTGGTGCACAGAATTAAGTTTATCTGACACCTGTGGAGTCTTTGAACATGGTGCACTGCAATGCGTGTATTGGCAGGCTCAGCATTTCTTGTAACAGCATTGTTAAAAATTCATTTATGTGTCTAGGTACCCAGCCTTCTGAGGAGATGGATGTTGCCATGGAAACCTTGGAGGCGGAGGAGGTTCAAATAAAAAAAGAGCCCGTGCAAAAGAAACGAGGTAGGTAGAGCGGGTGACTGAAAATTTCATTTAGTGATGAATTTGTATTTGGTTTGCTGCGCAAACCTCATTCAGAAATTTGTTCAGACTTCCAACACAAAAGTGCAGCCATGGTATCCATTTAGAATTGCCGTCTCTGCAGTGCTTCATTCGGAGTTATACTCAACTTGTGGTCCTTGCATTTTTAGTTGAGAGTTTTTCATTTCAGTATTTTCCTCTTTTATTCCCAGGGCGAAAGAGCACTCAATCCACTCCAGCCCTGTCCTTCATTTTCTCCCCACCCCACACCCGTTCCCGGACGGGCACACGACGCCACACCCAGAAGATCATACAGGAGGTCATGACCCCTTTGGCTCGCCCCATGACCCAAACTCCCCTCCTACCCACGGTGGGGCCCACTCCCAGCTTAGATCTGACTTCCTCCAGCATCGGAGGCAGTGCTCAAAGCAGGGGTGCCACTCCTAGCTCAGCCCCGGGAACCACAAGAAGGGGAAGGAGGAGCCACACGCCAAAACTAGACACCTCGGAAACAACAGGGAGCACCCGCGTTACACGCAGGAGTGTCACCCCTGTGGTGAAGTCTGAGCAGAAGGCTAAGTCAGCGGAACTGGGGGGACCAGTTACAAGGTTGGTAGCAGATTTAGACCAGATGATAACGAGCAACAGATAAAGCATCAGAAAAGGATTGTTCAAAATATCTCCTCCATTTTTCACCAGACGGCTTAATTATGGCAGTCCAAACATTAACCAACGCTTCATATTGAACTCTGTTGGGTGACATATCTTTCTGTCTGTGTATTCTGCAGGTCTAGAAGGTCCCTAGTAACTCCGCACCAATCACCAACAAACAGCCCAGTGGCTCTCCTCTCCCCATTGGAGGAAGACATGGACACAACACAAACAACCAAACCAAGCCGGCCCAAGAGAGTTGTACGTATCGCGCCCCACAGCATGACACTGCGAACGCCACAGGAACGCAAAACACGCTCTCGCAACATCAAACTGTGGTAATATTGCATTAGTGTTACTTTGAGTAAGGTAATATTTTAGAAATGAAATTTTGTTGGCATTAAGATTATTTCAGTGATGAACCCTCATGGTTCAGTTGCAGTTAATTTTTTTGTTAACAAAGCAAACCTGCAGTGGTGGGATTTGAACTTAACACCATCTGAATAGAGGGCTTTCACGTGACGTAACATGACGGGAAAAGGCATTTCAGGAAGCACACCGTGTTTGTGGAGGTGCGTGCATTTTCAAATCTGAGCATTTCTTGTGGCAGTTTCATGTACACTTGAATGATGAGAGACTTCAAAGGCATGCACATTTCTGCGCACATCCATGTAAATTCAATGCTGACTGTCAAAAATCGGGAAACTGAAAATCCCCCATACCACACTGGGATTACTGGCCAAAAAGAGATATTGGCACAATGGGTTATCGTTGGTGGGAGACAGATTGGGCTAAGACTTGAAACCATTGCTACCGCAATGCTCAATGCCCCAGCAAAGACCCTAGAGACCTTTTTCACTTACGTGACTGGATTGCACTAAATGTAAACAATACCACCAGGTGTGGATCGCCTTGGCCAAGGTGATGGCATATATTCCTACGGGCAGCTTCAACCACGTGCAAATGCGAACGCTGCATGCTTGACTAGTTTATCTTGAACAGGTAGATTACCATCACAACACTGCACTCCTGACCATCGCAACACATGGCGGTCCAGCACGGTTGTGACATCACAGGAAAAAGGTCTATTGGTTTCTGTGTGTATTTAGATGGCATATTCTGTACACTGCATGTAGGGAATGGCACACAGTGTGTTGAATAGACCGCGACGGGGCACTGTCGGAAGGGAACAAAACTGCCTCGCACCCCACACACAGTCCGTAGGGTGTTGCTGTTGAAACAGCACCGGTATAGCTTTTCAGAGGGTGAAAATTCTCTCACTTCTACAATTTTGTTTGTTAAATGGAAAAATTGAACTCAACTTTTTTTGTCAAGTTGTGCTGGATTTGTCAGGTAAAAATGGACTGGAGAGGGGGGGATGTGGGGGCTGTCGTTGATGGAAATGTGCACTTGTCTTGCTCAAGATGGCCTGTACAGGAATGCTCCAATGTGTTCTCAAGTGGAAAGATTCAGATGTTGGTTTGAGCCCTATGCCAAGAGTATGGAGAAGAAATATGACCATCAAGTTGTCACCAAAAGTTGTTTTCTGTGAACCTGACTATATATATGGTCACATCCATTGGAAACTTGGAATGGTTATTGCAATATAAGCCATGGATTAAAAATAATTGGTGACCAGAGCGAATGTCTCGGTTGGTACGGCTTCGGGCAAAATGTTTCCTTTTAGTTCTTGTTGACTAGTCTATAATCAGATAGATACTCATGCACGTACATGTATTGATTCATTTTCTGTTTTTGCTGTCAAAATGTCAGAAAGAATGAAATGACTTTCTAGAAATATGTGTACATGTTGATTAACTAAAAATAACCTTTACTATGCATACATGTTTTCTGAAACAAAAATTGCCCTGTGCTGATATCATTTTGTTGTAGAAGTTCTTCACATGGTGTTAATAAAAATTAACTTGTTTACAAGGTAGGATTATAAATTAATTTTTATGCGAAATGATTGATATTTTCTTATAAGTTTTGTAAAACCTGCCTTTGTGCTAGTGCGTTATTCCACAAACCTACATTATAATCAAACAGGATGACAAAATAAAACAGCTGGCCTTTAATCAAAACTAGTGCTTTGTGGAGTGGTTTTGCATCATCATGCATTGACAACCTCTCCCGTCCTCTCCATAGTTGGACACAAAAGACAAAAATAGTCCTAACCACTTGACGCCGGATGACATGTAAACACACAATTTTCCTTGTTTGTTCCAGGGAGGACATGCACACTCGTTAAAAAATTCTACTTTTCATTTCCGCGGTTGACATATTAACGCACCGTGCTTGGTTGGGTCAAAGTACAGTTACGATGTTGAAGAATTTGTGGGTAAAAAATCCCCCCAGTAGCTTTTTCAGGAAAGAAAATCTGACGAGGACTAGTTAAAAAGATCCTTTCAGATTCCAAGTTCAATGCCAATGGTGAAACCCCTGGACAGTAACATTCTGTTTTCTGTTCCTGCTGCCTACCATGAGCATACAAGCTGTCACTGTCTTGCATTCATTGTGGTCATACATAAAGTCTGTTTTTCTTGTGATTCAAATTTCACATGATGGGGGACACCAAATTTATCTAAAGTGAACGGTGGCTTTTTTGTGAAAGGACAGAAAGCTCGATAGAAATACAGGTAACAGCTTTTGCTTTATTAAAGACTGAACAAATCCTACTTGATACAAAAATACTGGTATTTACAATTCAAAGTATAAAAACCCCAAGATATTAAAACTGTCGAGTCGGAATTGAAGTAACTATATTCATGACAGGAAACATTGTAAAAAAATTCACTAGTCTCTTCCGCAGCCTGATATGTGACCACTAGGAAAAAAACTTCTCACTTTTACACTGTTCCATCAGTATCTTTTTACAGCCAAGCCACACAAAGAGTCCTGGACAAGAGTCCATCCTCTGATCATTACAAAACTGGTACTTCCATGCAAGTCTGAAGAGAATGTGTACTTGGGAAGAATTCTGATTACATTTGTAGACTTTTTGATGACTCAACTATGATGATATTACTGACAGATCCCAACAGTGCAATTACCCCAAAAGTGTTTTAAGCAACTCACATCAGAAATAACACAGAAATGCTCCAAAAAATAATTTGGATTTAGAGAGATATCTTTGCCATGTCTCTTGGAGGCAAATCCTCCAGCTAATCCTCCTTGGCAGCTAATCCTCCATAAATTTATTACTTTTCCCTTTGAGATAACGGCAGAGCTCCAATTTAATACCGGCAGTACTGTTTGTTGTCAGTAACACAACTATTGCAACCATGCTTGTTTAAACCTTAGCTTTGTCCTGCACGTAGCCTTCATACACTCAGAATGATTGACTGATAGATGTAGGCCCAATTTCACAGTGCTGCTTAGCACGCCATTTCATGCTAACTGAGGCTCCACGTATTTCATGGAGACCGTAAGCAGTAAGCACAGCCAAAGGCATGCTAACCTTGGAGAAGAAATTGTCTTAAACTTGGTGAGGTTATAACAGAAATGCACGCACAACCGTTAGCACCACCACACCAAGCACAGCCATGAAATAGTGCTTAAGGTTAGCAAGATTATTTCTGCTTAAGTTAGCACAATTTTTCTGCTAACTGTTGCATAGCTCTGTGAAATTGGGCCCTGCTCTTGGCTCGTGGTCAAAAGTATCCACTTCAATGGATACAAAAAAGTAAAGTTGCCCTTGTCGCAAGCCAGCCTCTAAAAAGAAGCTGAGCTCAATCTAAGATTTGTCGCAACTATCAACTGCATAACTCCTCTCCTCTTATACAACTTCATTTCCAAAATCTGAGTTAAGTATCCCACAATATGAAAGTTAGTTTTGTGCAATGCATTTGAAATGTGTTTTCTGGTAGAGAAGATATTTACACAAACATTGAAAGAAATGACCAAGTGAAAGATTCAAAAAAATAAATATAATTATCCTCATGCTTTGATAAAGGGTAATCACTTCCAGCAGTAGGCAGATTGACATTCATTTCAGAATTTAAAAAATTGTGCCAAGGTCCAAGTGGTACGGTTTACATTTACATCTCTATTGCAAGTTCCTACTTTGGCAAGTTTATTACAAAGTAAATATAGTGCAGCTACTTGTCCTAGGTACGTGTACATGTATGCAGAGACACACAGCACATTTTCCTTTCAACTTCCATGCCACGAATCTCCAAAAATCTTTGATATTTCTGCTTGACGAGGAAATGCTTGAACTGCAATTACATTTTGAGAGATTCAGGGTTGAATTTCAAACCATTGTAGGGAAATATATGCACCACAAAATTTACAGCAAGATATATGCAAAGTGCTTCACAAGTTAAAATGTAACAAATATACATATAGGGCCAAGATTTGTATAACAAATTACAGAAAATGTAAATATTTTTCCTGTGATAACAAAATTATTTCACCAGTTTATTTGTAATGGAAATATGGAAAGATTTGAATGTTGGAAGTGGCAGGGTACTTACAAGAATCCTTTAAAAATGTAGTCATTTCCATGCCATTGAAAATTACGGATTTCTGCTTAAGCTTTTCATATCAAAATCCATGAATCCTGACTTCAATTCATCAAACACAAAGGAAATGCGAACTCCCCTTGGAAACGGGGATACCACTTTCTCCCCAAAACAGCCATATTGAAGTACATGCAACCATGAATGTTTCAAAACTGCACAATGCAAAATTTGAATATTCATGAATTAAGTTTTATTACTTTCGGAAAGCTATTTGCACAGTATTTGCTGTCCAAGTTTCACTCTAATTCCCAAATAGAAATTCTTCCCAGACAGTTCAAGTTGTACTTCTACACTTTATATGAACTGGTTTTCCAAATGAAGTAAACTTTCCCGATGATTGTATGTTCTGTATATTGGCATGTGGAAATATTTTGGACACAAGCTCAAAACCTAGCTGAAAATGCGAAACATTTAAGCCCTGGCCTTACCACAAGAAACTGTTTCAAAGGGTGCAAAATGTATTTCACGATTGTGAAAGCTTATTTTGTGCACTGATTCCAGAATTTACACATTCAAGCGTAATTTTGCATAGCTCACATTGATCACAACCTTTCTGGCAAATATTTCAAGACTGACCTGCCGACGGGACAAGATTCAATTACTGACTGGCTTTGCGTTCTTATTGCCCTTCCTGGGAGCATTCAGGGCTTTTTGCTGCTGGCGGGTGTTCCAGTGTAGGCATTCGGTCAGGCCATCAAACCAATCGCTGATCTGGTCAGCACTGCAGATAGAAGCTACTGGGAAGACTGAGGTGGTAATCCGAAGACTACACCAAGAGGGAAATATAAGGGGAAAAATAGTTTGATCCATGAGTTCAAGCCAATACAGATAACGGGTCAGTCTATTACACAGACAACACCAATAAAGAAATCAGACGACAAGTTTGCTTGTGTAAGGCGGGATATCTCAACTCAACCTTCAAGTGAACTCATTCCCGTTCCAAGACGCTCATTTTTAAATATCTCGGAAGACAGCAGGAGATTCAGAATTTCAATATGTAAAGGAATAAAACAGTCTAGTAATGTTTAATTTCATAACAGTTACAGTGCCAAAAATAGGAAAATTTAACCAGACACAAGGCTCCTTCAGCTTCTGACCAAATAAAGTGGTAGAACCTGTTTCTGTTATAGTTGGCCTTTTGAATTTTCATAAACTAAACATCAGATAATCCATTATCTTACCACCATCCTTTGTGAAGTTCTTGCCTGTTCCTGCCGTCTAGCGATACCCAAGCTGTATGCCGGGCGTCTGGGGCAACCATTAACTGCAACGCCAAGCAAAGGACAGATTCACACTGTGATAAAAACCCTTGAGTGTCAATGACTGTAAATATGAAAGGAGGTATCTTGAACATATAGCACAGTGCACAGATTACCAAGCCAGGAGTTGGATCCTTTAGCATGTTGTATGGCTAGGATGCAACTTTACTGGGATATCATTGTAAATTCACAGACTTGGGCGGTGTTTCAAACAGTATTTCAGAGCTATGGCTACGACTGTTTACAGCGTGAGCTCACATTATTTTAGAGGTAGCCCTAGCCCTAGATGCAAGCTTCAGGCATGGCTCGGCTTACCCTGAGTTCCACTCCAGCGGGGACCACGATGGGCCTGAAAGACAGCGTGTGGGGGCAGATAGGGGTGATGAGTATCGCGGGCACGTTAGGGTGCATCATGGCGGCACCTGCTGCCGCAGCGTAGGCCGTGCTTCCCGTCGGTGTGGAGATGATCAAACCATCGCCTTGCACGGTCGTCACCTTCCGACCGTCCAAGTACAGATCAATGTTTGAGAGGTACGGGGAGGGGCCCCTGTCGATGACAACATCATTCAGCACCTAAGGGGATACCAACAGAAGAAGCTCTGTCATTCGGAGAGCACAGTCTGGCTTTTCTTGATATGGAACCCATACAATTTGATGACACTGCCGTGTTTGTCCTCTCCAACAGAAACTTACAATGCAGTGGGACGGGGAAAACAGTAAAACTGTAGTGACAAAACAGTTTTGAGAATTAGCAACTGGGAAAAAGAATGGAGAAGCTGGGTGTGGAAAGGACACACTGCCAATAACAAAGTGGAAGTCGATGATACACTTCCCCTCAAAGTGGAACTGAATGATTTGGAAAGCTCTCCCTAAAACTAACCAATCCATCTTCCCAAGAAAAGATGCGTTACTGATTCATTTGTTGAACAAGAACTTAACTGTAGGCAACTTGCTTGTCTTGGTTAGAAATGACACCTTCGTGTCTGTGTTAACTTGGTTCCACACTAGTGAACTCTAGGTCGTGACCTCCTGACCCCTGACCCAATCTCTCACCTGGAATTTGAACTTCAGGTTGGGCGGGTCTTGCTTCTTGGCAGGTATAATCTGGTGAGGGTCGCCGTTACGGTCATTGTCAAAGCCATTGGGGATGTCATTGCTATCGAAGATCAGACATTTTAAACGACTCCGTAGCGTTACGGCTGCATCACCTAGTTTGGAAAACAAAAGGACAGCGTCCATCAAAGTTGTGTCTAGCCTTGTGTGAAGGAATGCAGAAGAGTTTCATTAAAATCTACCTATGCATGAAAGTATTGATAGAATTTTGTGACCTGCAAATTTCAGCAGCAGGAATAACAAACATGCATGCTGGTGTAACAATATAAACAAAAAATTCCCCACTGCACTCTCTGATTGAGTCATCCAATGAAATCTTTGTCTAGTCCTTAACTGGGGTTAATTTTAACAAAAACTTTGAGGAAGAACAGCATTTACCTTGCAAGAGCGTATTCACAGATTCCTTGAAATCTTCAAATTCAAATGGCGTCAAGAAACCGAGAGAGCCCAGATGGAATGCCATGACTGGGGGAACACTGGCCTGTAAGGAGAGAAGTAAACAAACACCAAGGTTACTCAGAAAATAAATCTATAAAACAAATTTTTTATGCTGTCATTTTTTGTACGTTTCAACCGTTAAGCCAACTTTTTCCCCAAAAGTTATCCAATGAGCGAAGAAATCTTTTTCTTTACTTACCTCCTGGAAAAGAGATGAAGCATACAGCAATGTGCCGTCTCCACCAAGGCAAAGAATGAAGTCAATCTTGTTGCTCAAATCCGCACCTGGAAAAAAAATTACACAAATATGTTAAACCCATTGGCACTGTCAAGTTTAATCGTCCACAGTTACTTTCACAGATAAACTTGAACACTGCTACTTCTACAAACGGTTTGCAGATGATGTATGAAGTCTCTCGTCAGCCATCTTGATGGACTGAGACTGTGCATTCCTCCTCCTTTGATTGTCATTGAAAGATGTCGGAATACAGTGTCTTATCTCCCACCTACCTTCGTTGAAGGTCTTCATCTTGGCTCGGACCGGAGCAAAGTCTTGATCGTTGAGTAGGTCCTGGTCGTCAAATACCTTGGATTCAATGTAGATCAAGAGGTTCTTCTCCTGTGTTGTGGGAAATGCACATAACATACTGTATATGAATGTCCATGTTAGCTAACATTTTGATGCAGGTGGGATTCGAACCCGCAACCACCTGATCTTAGGCTATTAAATTAGATGAACCGTGTATCTCACTACCTCTGACGTAACTCGTGTTGTCAGCTCCATTGAAATACTCCCAGTGTCTACCCCTAGCAGAAGCATCCCCCATGGGTTGAAAAGAGCCATGTCGGTTGGGAGGGTTCATCAAGACTTGTTGGTAGCCAAACAACCATACCATATGCATTACCAAGTCATTCACTAACCAGCGAAGGTCAGTTTCAAACAGAGAAGCCTCCATTGCTAAGAAAATAGCGCCCTCTCTTAGTCCAGCTCAAAGCCCATACCCATTATGCTAACAGGACTCTATCCCACAGTCTCCTGACTGTTGAGCCGGCAGCTAAACCCTTAGAGGTCAACGTGCACTTACCTCACAAAGCCATCGCGTGAGTTCCTTGAAGGGTCCCAAGACAGAGTCATCCATGATCTTCTTGATGACAAGGACAGAAAAGGGAGGGCATTTCCAAACCAATTTCTGACCAGATGGGTCAGTCACATGCCTGCCAAAATGGGAAGTTCACAAACCAAAATAAATGTGCACATCTCAGGCGCAGAAAAAGAAAAAATTCCAACTGCAAACCTGACGCTTTCTACGGGCAAAAACTTTGAGAAATGGGGGTGGGGGGGCAGCACGCCAAGGACATTTGCAAAATGTGCTCTTCACATTTTTCCACAAGATAAACAACCAAAACAACAACAACAAAACAAAACACTTCAGAATTTACAGAACAGTACTCACATTATCTGAGACGGAGGAACTTTCTTCAGCTGCGCCTTCGGCCCAAATGATGGCGACGGTGACGGCGCATTGATGGACCGTGTTCGCCTGTGAAATAAGCAACCGAAAGGTCAGGCTAGAGTACAAGCGAGTTCAACTGTAGAAACAATCAATGCATTGCTGCAGACCAATGAACCGACACACACATGTAATTGGGAATACCCTGGGATGTTAGCACTCACCCTTGATATTTAATGTCAGAATCCCCTTGCAAATTGTGGTGATTATGGTAATGATCTTAATGTCATGTTTCTGTTTGTTTCCAACTGGTACATGTACGTAAATACATGTACATTCACGCCCCAGGTGCCATATATTTTCTTTTTTTTTTTCCGGAAATAACTGTCACCCATTATAAGGCCCAACTCAGGAGCCACAAAAGGTGAGGGATGCATAAAGAAAGGCCAGACAACATAGAAAATTTCCATCCTAATTTCAATGAAATGGGCTCTACTGGCTCTGAATACCTCTTTTCAAAATCAACTGAAAACAACATTGATTTTGAAATCTGTAACTTCAGTTTGCTTCAATACTACAAACCTTACAGATACCTGTACGTGTTCATGTAGAATTTGAATAATCGAGTGCCGTTTGTATTACTGCGCTGAGCCGCATGTACAGTGCACTTCAGTTAACTACTCTCCATGCTGACAACGCATTAGGCCATCTTCGGCTGATTACAGTTTGCAGCCTTCACAGCATACGGCCATTTATGACCAGTGTACTTAGAAATGTGGAGGTCAATTGATGACCACTGTCGTTCATTATAAAAACCAGTGCACGATGCACTACAGCCTTTCTTGATTACTGAGCAAAAGGTTCCATCACGCAAACCATCAACTGAGTTCGGAGAAATTGAAAATTGCATGTGGAAAAAAAGAGAGGAAGAAAAAGGTTTACTGGTTTTCAAAATGGACAATGTATCTTCCTAGCAACAATTTTTATTTCACATGTATGATATGCATGCACATGTATGAACCTAGATTCAGACGGACGTAACATGAAGCTCCTGTACATGTACATACATGTACCAGCATTGGTACATATGTACATACTGGTTTGCATGCTTTTGCTATTGTTTCTGTACATGTATTTTAATCTTTCCTATAAAAATATCTACCGGTATATTTCATAAGTGACACTCATTCAATAAAAAGTCATGCACTTACCGGTTCAAGTGGATAATGTATACCTTTACACAACAGGTACATATGTACATGTACAAATAGATGACTATTCCACATTGAAGTTCAATTATAACATATGGCTACCAGATAAGTCTTGGAGGTTTGCACGGTGAAAAGTTATAACAGAAAGTAGGTTTGCGGTAGCACCATGGACGTATCTCTGTTGGAAGTACTTGCGGTTCTGAAAAGAACTAGTGGTACTCCATATGGCTACTAGTGAATATCATTCTCATATCACACGTACATGTTTAATTTGAGGGTGCCAATTTTGCTTAGCAACTTTCTCATTTTTTGCTCTCATAATCTCCATCCTGTTGCTATGTGCCACTAGGCTCCTTGGGAGGGGCCAACGGAGAACATGTCTCCTCCCCCCCAAGAAAAATAAAAAAAAAAAATATTGAGAGAAAGGTCATTTTATGTACATACACATGAACCGGTGTATCACTTCCCTCCCTTCCAAAGGCATGTCAAACGTCCCCAAATGCAGCCTAACCCTCCCAGGCCATTAAAGGATCCATGATAAATTTCCCAAGTTTTGGCCCCTCCCAAAAACATGTTCTCCCCCCCCCCCCAAAAAAAAAAAATTTGGTTTGGGATCCGTCCTTGCCCTCCACTTGGCTATGCAACCAAGCCCTTTCCTAGCAATTGGGACAACCATGTACGTGTGCATGTTCCTGTACTTCCTTGTCCCAGCATACTGGTCAGCATCAAGAGACGAAAATACGTACATGTCTGTGTACATGACAAGAGTACATACTGTACAGGGATATACAATTCCGGAAAATACAGGTACGTATACCAGGAACCAGAGGTTTTGCCTAAGCCTCTAGTGCGTAAAGGGGACAATTTCTTTGTCAGAAAAGTCTACAGGGTTGTTGGAGGCCAAAACTTGGCTTTGGCCCCCACATACGGGTACACGTACACATTTTAACATAAATACAGTATCCACAATGGGTACCGTACAATACATGAGTACAGTCAACAAGGCAAATGTTAAGGCAAGTACCGGATCATGTATGGCATTACACATAAACAAGTGCATGTAGGCCTTTAACATTACATGTAAGTGGGTATGGTGACTGGTACCGGTACCTGTAACTCCGTTGGTGGGGTTAAATGTAACTCGGTCACCGATGAGTACAACTTCCATGTATCGGTATGGTGTTGTGTCATGTACATGTACATGTACATACTGGAATTTCATGCAAAAATCTCTAAGAAAGGCACCAAAGTAATATTCAGCGGCTGCATTCAAAACTTACATTAGACTGCATCTACTGTACATACAGGTCCTTAAAAAACACACACACTTACCAAGTTTGAACAAGTTCGCACTTTACAAACCCAGCAGGTTTTCAGGAGTGGGCCAACACAATGTACATGTACAGATGTACATGTCTTTGGGTGACTACCAATGTGGCCACATGCACCAAGAACATCTGTTTAAATTACACTGGCATTTAGAGCACCTACATGTACAATACATGTACTGTGTGACTATTGAAGACGATCACGCACCCATGATATTTCCTGGTCCACACTTTTGTTCAAGAGATTTCAGGGCTGCATGGTCTTACAAATTGGTCCTGAACACTGTAATTATTCATGAATTCATGAATTTGCAAGAGTCATGCCGCAACTTTCCGTTTTATTGAACAAGTATGGAACAGGAACAGTGCATTTGTTTTGTCTGGTTTAAATTTGTTTTTGACCTAGGCTGAGGTCTTCTTTTGGAGACAGGGAGACACCCGAAAATTTTCTTTTCTGGAAGTGAAGTGTACATGTATCTCTAACTCAGCAAAAGCAGCAATGCCAGTACCTTTGACATCCTGATCCTATGGGGTTATAATTTTTAAAAAGTAATTTTCAAAATTTCTCTTCCACGGAGCTCGAAAGGGACATCCCAATTTTTTGTTTAATCTCGTGTGCACGACATATATATGTATTTATCTCCTGCGCACAACTTATTATCTCGTGCGCACGACTCATGGTATTATTGTCAAATAACAGTGCCGCATATGCGTGGTGCACATGTTACATAATGCATGTACTGCCACCGAAATCCCTACTGCATGCAGTGCAATGGGGCAAGCATTATACAGTGCATCAGGTGAGCAGGACACCAGGCTCCTATCCTCGGTGATTGGGTAAAGCTTTATTGTAAGTCCTACGCATGAGATAATAAGTCCTGTGCATGAGATAATATGTCGTGCCCATGGGATAAAAGAATTGGGATGTCCCTTTAGGGGCTCCGTAGTATGATGGCACAGTCATCACATAAATGTCCTTGGTTATGAATCCTAGAGGACAGATAAATACTTTTATCCACAAACTTGGAAATGTCATTTTGTTGATTAAGGAATGACAAAGTGTCTACATACTCGGACATCTATGTATCACTGATAGACTACTCAAAACACCCACAGGTTGACATTTTAGAATCATCTCCAAAGGAAGTCATTCTAAATTTCAGTACCCTAACAGACGTATGATTTGTGTTCTGAAATCTAGTAGGAAAAAGACTCAAAAGACAAATTGTGTCGGAAAACATGACCTGTTGGAACAACATGCTCATGTTGCCGTGATTCAGTTCTATTTGCAAATGGGCAGGATACACACAGCTGACTATAAACCAGGATGTAGGCGCATACGTGTGTTTGTCTTGAAAGAAAAGTTTCCAGAGAAAATAATATTGTTTGCTCTGGGTAAAAAATGCTGAGTTATGAGTATATAGTTCTGGTATATATACATGTACATGCATATTACACCCAAGGCTTCCTCTCTGAATTCAACGGACGATACAAAAGTTGAAACTCGGAATGTCCTTCTTTAAAAACTGACCGGATCAAAGAAATAGAAATAAACTTTTCCCCTGAAGTCCAGCAAGGATGAATTAACATCTATGCCTATTTTGTTCGAGCAATCCTTTCTCACTTTGCAAAGGCTAAGATGTGACCTGTAAGGCGCACATGTCCACATACAGGTACATGTAACAGGCCCCTCAGTCTGTCAAAACAGCAACAGGGAAATTTAAGGAGTTTCTCTCAAACAGAGTCTGACTCCTCAAACTCTGACTGGCATTACATGTACAAATGTACTTGCTATTCCACAAATGCTGAGAGTTACATGTACATGTAGAGTACCATATTAAGTGTGCATGTATAATACCGGACCTCACGTCTCGGTAACAATCCAAATACACATTCACCCAAGGAAGCCAGTGATAATGTTCACCCCTCCACCAAACCTGACACCTTGCACTGTACAAGTCCACCTGAATGACCTACCTTTACAATCACATAGGCCTAAATGTAGCCAGGAAGCCCGTCCAATAGTGTTAGGTACAGGTGCATGTAAATCACCTGATGTTGAAAGTTGAGTGAATACAAATCAACATAACTGAAAAACATGTATTCAATTCCAGCTGAGAAAGTGCTGGGCTCTGTATGGGCTGGCAGAGATTTACATCAGGCTTTTAAAGTGGTTTAAAACTCTGAAGGTTGCATGACATATTGTTGGGTCAGGGCAGGATGGTTACTCTTGAGTGGGTTTGAATTGACAGACAATTGCAGGATGGGATCTGCTTTGTACAATGGACAGGTTCTTGTTCCCAGGCTCTTCAGTCCACTGAACTGGTGTGAGTGACCTTTTCACGCTTACCATCCGGCCAATGTTGACCTAACCCCCGTCCTTCACGCTAAAATTTGGGTTGTATTATAAAATTGTTTTCCTTGAACTTCAGAAATTACCGGTAGTATTCACATGTACATGTATACCCTTACAGGCACCTGTGCATGTACAGTATATTCACATGTTCTTTGGAAGGTGAGAAGTACACGTACGGTGTGAGGAGGTGAAAGTGGGAGCAAGGCTGGACAGAATTTGGGGAAGGGGGGGGTGGGAGATTATACGGTACATACAATGCTACCATTCACGAGAAACCCAACCTACATCCATGTATTGGTATCTTGCTTGCTCTCTCAGGCTGTGCAGTGAATGCACAAGACATGAATCCCTTAGCAAGACTACATGTAGAAAACATTTCTTTGAAAATCCTACCAACCATGAGGGATCAATTGTTCCACTGAACAGAACAGATATTGACACACCCCCAGAATTGTGGGGTCCGACACTGAGCGGGGCAGACGTCAGACCCCACAGTTCTGGGGTTGATATTGATACATGTACATGTAGTATCTATATCTAAATCAAATTCAAGGGAAATGGAGGTCTGCTGAAGGAGCACTGCATGCATGGTTTGCCATGCAGTCCAGTCCAGTCAAATGAACTCCATCCATTGAGTGCTCGACAAAATTACATCATGCACTTGCCCTTTCCGACACCTGTTAAACACTGCGGGTACACAAGGAGCAAAAGATGAGGTTAAATTTGTATGATGAGGACACATTCGTAATTAAGCCCTTAATGCCAGCCTTCAAGTGAGATTTGACCTAGCTGGTCCATAGTCCTTCCCCTCATGAAATCAGCAGTTTTCCTCTCTGATAAAAGTACCCGAGCCATGTTGAAGGAGAAATTTGTATGATGAGGACACATTCATAATCAAGCCCTTAATACCAGCCCTCAAGTGAGATTTGACCTAGCTGGTCCATAGTCCGTCCCTCATGAAATCAGCAATTTTCCTCTATGATAAAACTACCTGAGACATGTTGAAGGAGAAATGTATGTCGGCATAAGATATACCGACCTATACATGTAAATGACAACTTAACACTACCAGCATTAAATAAACACGTACATGTACACGTATGCACTACATATTGAATGTGTACAATCAACCCATACATAGCGAAAGGATTACAAACATAACCACAGATAATTTGGTCAGCTGACGGGCAAAAGGCGTAACTGTTTGCAAACTAAAATGTGTGGAGAAACCTTTGGCCAGATGCCCTTCTACTAGACACATGGTGGTTTGTGATTAAATGAATTAATCTTGCAAGCAGGTAACAACATGTAAACCATGGTACATGTATGTAATTGACGTAAAGTTACTGCAGACCTACATGTATGACAAGCATACATACATGTACAATGTAGAGGGACCTCCCTATCCGAAGACTCCATATGCATGAATGATCACAAAAAATCCTCCCAATGTTGCTTGAACTGGAACATTACATGCATGACACATCTCAATGGCTTTGGCTAGCAGTAATGCATGTGTCTTTGGAAGTCTACATGTACATGCACAGGCTACTGGCTGTAACCACTTCCAAAAGACGCCTGTGTTAGTCATGTATACAATGTAGCCAGTGTTAGTCAGCACATGGCTTTATTTTCTCTGGAGAGATCAAAATTGAGCTGTGGGTTTTGTGCTGGTATATGGGCTTCAATATCCTTTCAAGGGAGGCGTAGTCTACATGTACGTACACACACAATTTTCATTTCATTGGACAAGTGTTACAAAAAGTTCTTTAAAATACGTCAGCAATTTACATGTAATTTTGGAAAATACTACCGGGTACAAGGCCTTACTCTAGGCATGAAAGAAGACTAGTACATCACCGAAGCAGGTGTACATGTAATCCAGACTACATGTACAGTATATTTTTCATTAAATTTCATGTGCAGTGGTAGTTTTGGGGGCAAATTTATTTAAATTTCCCCCCAATCTTCTTGTGGACTTTCATGTTTCAATTACAACAATATTTTTCCAATAGGACCTCTTAGGCAACTTTATACCAAGGACATTATAGCACCACAGACCAGTTGCATGCCGCCATTAACTCTCAGCACTATCTATTTGACGAAGAAGTACATGTACTAGTACTTTGGTTTACGGTTTTACATTTTACTGCCATAGATGCATAACTAAGCCCTTTCAACTTTAAAGGCAGGCTGCAATAGATTTTTGTGATTACAAACCTCTAAAATGCAACTTTTCTGCCACAGTTAACCTTGTTTTCAGCTTGTTTCATTATTTCAAAGGGTACTGTAATGCCTTAAAATTATGCTAATGAGCATTTCCATATTCATGAGCAAAACTGTGATGTCATCTCAGGAAGATGCCTCAACGTTACATTGGTTTGCTGATTCACTGCTGTTTATGTGCATGGCAACAAGAAAGCATCTCCCTCTCAGAGGTGTTTCCAGTAGGTACGGTACATTGTGTACCTACTGTGTGCACTGAACCATGTCTTCCTTAGATGATGTCACGGCAACAGCGCCCTCAGTTGCATGGATAATTTTAATTGTTTAAAAGCATGCACTTTTCCGTGCATTTAACCAAATAGGAGTGTGTAAGAGTTTTCATAAACTGAAGAAAAGTGCAAAGATGCAGGAAAATTGTGGCAAAAAAAATTCCTTGCAGCTACACTTTAAATTGAACACGTACACGAGTTCACCAAACTGGGAAGGGATAGCACATTCCTATATAAATGTTTCACTGCTCCCAAACAATACATCATACAGCTCTATTCAACTACATGTACTTGTAATCTTGTTACTTTGTGAATTTGGAGATTCAAAAACTGTAAACTCTTTGTTATTTGTCAGCCTTACACGTACCTTGCGTGACGGCAGACACAGTTGGCAAACTCCTCCCCGCACTGTTCACAACAGCCATCCATGCAGGAAGACGCACAGTGACTAGTGAACTGCATCCTTGGGATCATGTTTGAAGGTAATCAAAACAGATGGCCTCGCTCCAAAATCAATCAAATCTGACAGACGCAGACTTCACAGCCCTTCAATCCAAAATCAACTGTCACTCCTTGAGATCAGTTAACTTAAAGAACCAAGTCGAGTGGAAAACTGCTCCGAGATATTTTAATTAAAGTACAGTGTGTACATGTACCGTTTGTACATCGACGCTGAAGAAATCATTCAGTCCTGCCACTTTACAATACATGTTCAGTTCAACTACAATTTAACTACATGTACTTGTGTACACCCACATACATGTACACACGTCTGTCTGCAACACAATTCAGCTTACTTCACAGTGAAATCTGCACTTGACACTGCCGTTCTGCTACACATTTCTTCATGGATGGAGGTTTGCGACTCATGCATAATTCATCATCAAACTTGCTGGTACCTTCCCCCTGGTTCCAGGACAGATGACAAATGAAGACTTGACGGATAAGAATCACACCAAGTCTTGCACATTTTACCATGAATGCACACCACAAGAGACTTGGCCTCAGAGAGAGAGAGAAACAGATCTGATTTCGGTTGAACCTTGTACACACACAGTACTGTGTGTGTAAATACCAGCAATGGTAATACCAATTGACTATACAATAAATTGCATGGTCAGGAGGCAGGGCCGTGTTATCAGGCTAATCAATGGATAGTTGACTTATGATTGCAACCACTTTGTGTATCCCCTGACCACAGCTGATTAGCAGAGATTGCGTAATGCTAGATGACCTCATGTACTCAGTTTCAGCAGCATATCAGACTGATGATAATACATGGAACAAAGCTGGATGATAGATGTTTCTCAGCAAATCGGAATTTTGTAACATCTCTTTTTTCTATGTGAAAAAGAAATTAACTTCTTGATTTATGTGCATGTGCAAGATGCACTGTATTTCTCAAATTCTAAAGAGCTGGTGGATCCCCAGCTGCACACAAATTTAAATCAAGGGGCGGTCTTAACTTCAGACAGAGTTGCCTATGTGTTCATGAATCAACGTTTCTTTGTTTTCATCGACGATGCCACCATATCAAACACTACAACGATTCACAAAGCTAATTATCATGACACATTGCAAATGCAAGTCAGAGCCCTTTGAGGTTCTTCCAATCTTTCTGGCAAACAATGAAGATTTTTTAAGCTTGTGAGCTTCGAAGAGTTTTAACAATCTGTTGACTGACTGACAGTGAAATGATATACTTGACGTCTTGTGGAAGTCCAAAGACGGTGACGACAAAGTTCTCCAAGGTCAAAGGTAAACCAAATAATATTTGTTTACCATCTTTTGATTAAAAAGAAATTTGCACAAAGAATCACATGAGTAGACAGAAAGTTGTCACAGCATCACGTAAAATTACTAAACATTTTGATAGTTTCAGTTTGTTCACAGGAATGGGAATTTCATGAGTACAATAGTTGTTTGGGATCTTTTGCCGAGTGTGATTGCAGTTTGAACACTGCCTGTGTGCCTTACACGTAGCAGAAGGAGGGTCCGCTTGCTGAAGTGCCCTTATGACCTTACCTGGGGTCAACTCTTTTACATGTACATGTACGTGGCCACACACTGCATTCCATCAGGTCACAGATTACACCTAGCATATTTGGTCGTTCACTGGGTAAGTGAGCGACTCAGCAGCCTACAGGCTCATCAGATGTTTCAGTAACACCACAACCATCACAATCGCCATGGCAACAATGATGAACGCATCCCCAATAATGAGCAACGTGTCACTCTCGGCGCATGCCATGCTCATTAATGTCACCTTCATGCTGTTCATGGAAGGAAAAAGACTGGACATCATGACGTAAAGATGGCTACCAGGAAATATCCTTGAACTCCAAGCAAAAAAAAAAATCGCTTGTCACGAGTCGAATTTCAAGTTGACTTAGCAGAAATACATCTCTGATAGTCAGCAGATGAGAAAGCAATACCATTACAGAATAGTATTAGTATTTGCATCTGTCAGGTATTCAACAGCATTTGGTCTTGTCTCCAGAAGACACCATGCAGCAGTCTCTGCTTTTCAGGAGATGAATGAAACTGTACAGCCTACAGGCACTGGAGCAACGGAGAAAGGTGAGGGTTACACTTTCACAATGTGCATCCACATTAGACTGGTGCCTGGTTTGTATTGTGTGTTCTGACTTCCGTGGGCTAGCCCAGTGTCTTTGTTACTGTACTGTAGTGACTATACCCTCAAGCTTGCAGATCTTGCAAGTTAGGACTGGTCCACAGAGGAATTCAAGGTGATACATGTACTGGTGCCCTGTACATGTACATGGCATCCAACAAAATATTCTGCAATGAATGCTCTAACATCCTGAGGCACTGTGCTGCAGCATTAACAAGACAGTATAAATCTTCCTCAGAATGTGGAGTGCAGCTAGCTGTCTGCTTCAAGTTCACTGCTTTGTTTTACCGGTACGTCTATCTATTGAGACTGGCCAAATCTGGAAGTGTTCAATCACGTTTCCTGTGTCAAGGCCACTGTGGGCCTGATTCCTGGACGAACAGATCTCCTGGGAGTGGGAGGACTGTCCTTCATTCATGGAGGTACATGCACCAGTGCAGTAGTTATTGCAACCCTCTCTCTCTCACTGTGCAATATGCTGGGAAGATGGCTGCTTGGAGATGGGTGATGTTTGCAGATGGCTGGAGCAGCACCTCGCCCTGTCCTGTCTGCAGAGGAACTAGATATGGTCTGCCTGTAGAATGATCCCTTCTGTCAAAACAGCTTCATCCATACCCCGCTGGGTGCCTTTGTTATTCACGTGATCATCAATTCCACCCTATTTTTTCCTTTCTTTCTTTTTATCACCATGTGGCTATTTATAATTTCAATGATGCCAATGTCCGCATATTATCTAGCACAATAAATACACTACCCTCGAACTGCCAATGAAATAAGGCACTTGATGCTATTTTTAGCAATAACTGGGGCTGAGGTGCCTATTTATAAACCTACTAATTTTAAAGTCCTTTCTAAAAATATCTGAACACTTTCTTATCCGTTTCCAAGGTAACTTTTGTGAGATGATTCCATTTTTGTGGAATCCGCCCTTAGCTGAAGTACACCCTCTCCAGCAAAAGAAAGACAGATGGTATTAAGTTTTCCAACCGGATTCTTGCGCACGCTCAGTATTTACGGGCAGCCCATACATTCCAGACTACATCTGTAAATTCATTGCTTGTACTCAGCATGCTCCGCGTCCAACGTGCATAGACTTGCGCGCCTATGCAGTGAATGTGTACCAAAGGACTGTCAATTTCATATCAAAACACATCCTCTTTTGTTCCTGCTCAGAGCGGACAGGCGAGTGTAAATGAATGTGTCATTGTCCGAGTACGAAATAAACAAGACTTTAAAATGTATGTCACCTCCATGCAAAACTGTTCAATGGTCTTACGCTCATGGGTAGGTTTTGTACAGGTTAGCTAAAAGCTCACCTTTTCCGGCACGATTTAGTGGGTGCGGTGGGTCTGGAATGACTCTCCTCCCAGTGTGTCTTTGCCACATCTAAACTGCAACCCATTACAGGTGAAAGTTCCCGTACAGAATTGGAATCTCAACTAGAACAGTGTTCCACCTGAGAAGTCTTCAGCCCAAATCCTGTAAATGAATGTATCCGATACGGAAGTCCCACAAAATAGGCTAACCCAACTGTGGTCATGCCTAGGACTGCCTTCCGTACTTACAATATGCAAAAATAAATTACTTTTCACTGCATACAATTTACAGGAGACCAGATGTTTACAACTAGTTCTGTCAGGTTTTCTGCATGGATGAATACTGCTGAGTATCAGTCAAGGACTTTACTAGATGCCTGTGCTGGGTCAACCAAGGACTCGAAAATTCTCTGTTAAAGCTCCTACCGACCTCCTAGGACAGGTTTAGCCAAATTGTGTGTGCACTGTTACTGGAGAAAGGCCACATCTGTTGTTCCAGCCAGCATGAGGAAACCGAGAATTAAACAAGTTCCCATTATAAAGGGCAGTCGTTGTTTGGACAATAATCCAGACAGAATTGGTGCAATAACACAAGCTGTGCGTGGACGCCGTGGACAGCTTGTGTCAGGTCATTCTTTGGAAGAAAAGAAAACTGGTGTAGTCATGGAGATTTTGGAAGTACCAGGTTTTTACTTTTGCACGTATTGTGCACGGCTCTCCTGACAAACACAAAAGTCATGTACATGTACCGGTAGCTGCAAACTGTTGAGTCATGGTTGTATCTTGACCCCAAACAATACACTTTACTCTGTAGCTCTTGATGATAAAAGCAAACCAATCATTGGCAAACTGGCTTTTATTATACATGTGCAGTGTATGTTTTTATTGATACTAGTAGTTTGCTTCTAGGAACTGGAACACACATTCATGTACATGTACACACGTCACATCTCATGGTATTCTTGTTATGATATAAAGTGTATAAAATAAGCGTATTTTACCTAAAGTCATTTGAAATCTGTAAGGGTTTAGTGCACTTGTATACATGTACCTGTGCATGCGTATATGTAAACACAGGTTATGTGTAGATAGCACTGCTGAATACAGTGTGACCCAATTTGCACAAAATAGACAAATCTGGGATGAAACGCAGGTGACTGTATCAGCCCCCTTCCCCTGAGAACCCCCATTGCACACATCTTAGACATCTATGGCAATTGAAATAACAAAATACAAATTTCTTGAAAATTCTCAAGCAAAAAAAAAGCACTTCGTATTGCGAGAGCTGGACCAATCCTATTTGATTGGTTTTTCCTTGGACAACTACGGCTGCAAGTAAAAGTCACACAACTTACATGTATGTGAATTCATGAGAATTTTCTCCCCAATCATATGTGGTATTGCGCTCCGAGTACCAGCTACATGTACATGTGCAGTGATCAATGATTCACTGAAGTGGCTACGTTATCGGTACATCATGGAGAAAGGGTTACATGCACATCGGTAAAATGCTTGATGTCTTAGGAAGTTCAAATATGAATTAACGTTACTTTACCTTTTCCCCCCTTTGCATTCATAGTAAATGATGGGAATAGGAGGAACTGAGCTCATGTCAGAGTCACAAATATGCTCTGAGTGGCATCAAATCACAAAAATGATAGTGGTCTAATAATATTTTCCAGAACTGTACATCCACTTGACCAAGTACATGAGAATAAGACACTGCCATTGCCTATCAGGACGCGTCCTTCTCTTTGCAGTACATGTAAGCTGCACTATCTACGGTACTACTGGTCCATGTCATGTGAAAGTCAACCAAGCACATGTTGGACACTGGCATTTACTGCTGCCAGTAGATCTACATGGACATGTGTGTGGGAAAACAGAATTGAGATGGGTCAAGCATGGTGATTAGGGTACCAGAGAAGAAAAAACACTGCATGTTACATGTACATATTACAGTCTCCATTCTCCAACTGTTCCGCACGATGCATTTTCACGTATACATGCATCAAAAAAACTTATTAAAAAACTTATTTCTCCCTCATTTAGCTTGAAATACGGTAAACTCTATGCCAACGAGAGATTAAGAGGAATATTTCCATTGGGAAAGCCAAAAGCAAGAGGAACACAAATAAAAGTGGAGCCAAAGTGTAGAGTACAGTCTATCTACCATCTGTCACTCATCCCCTGTTGTTGTTCTTTTCATATGTACACGTACATATACCTATCTGATTAACCTGCTCTACGCAAGGTTAAAGTACCGGTGAATGAAATTGAAGTAGCCTTGAAATGCAACAGAGAAGGCCTCCAAGTTGCGTGAATCCTGTCCTTCAATGGAGGAGGCCTTGTGGGATTTCAAAACATACTACTGTAGTTCTGCCTCTTGCTAAACAATTTCAATCAATGGTTCTAGTTGTATTGTAATTTAAATGACCGCATTTGTCAAAGGCCAAGGGATCTGAGGTCATATGACAATGGGAAATGGTTGGATGATCGGATGCCTATTCAGGACTTGTTCACTAACAGAAAGTATGCTTCCTTCAGCAGAATTTCTACCATGATTTTCAAGTTTCCTGAGGGCGTTGGAGCAGATTTAAAAAAAAAACAAAGAGAGGAGGGTTTTTCCTGAATTATGTTACAAGCCTGATTTGGGGGATTTGTTTGTTTGTTTGTTTGTTTTTTTGGTTTTTGCTGTTGTGCAGTACGTAGTAACAATTTTAACATAGTATCTTGCACTATCTACAATTTAACAGCAGAATAATCAATACCAACAAGCTATCGTGCATCACAACTTTCTCGTCATCATCTTCACTTGTAGGTATTTCTTTGGAAACAAACGGAAGTCATATTGCATAATTTGTTTCACTGTACAAACGTATTCTATATTCTTAATTGAAACATTTTTGCAGAAAGTTCTACAAAGAGATTTTACATTTGATATATTGCAAACTGTGATCAAATGCATGTTACCAGCGTATGATGTATTTGCCATTCTGTCACAACCCGACATCATCTCGAAAGTTGACATACATGTACATGTACATGTATTTCATTATCACAACCAAGGCACAAATTATTTCATTCCTCGACATACATTACCAGTTTGTTAACCATAAAACATATACTTTGTCTTTGTAAATGCTTTCTCGAAATCTAACAAAATCATTCAGAGTTTGTACAAATTTAAATTTATTTTAAAATCAGCTTGAAATACTTTCTTAGAGAAAATCAGTTCTTTCCAGGAGAAATTCTTACAGTTTCATTTTAATATGGTACATCCCTTGCCGCCAATGGTATTAGACATAGGCCCTTCCTACATCTACATTTATGTTGTAAGCTGCTGTTCAAGAAAAGGCTTAAAAGCTAAACTGAAATTTTAGTCTCATGTCAAAGTCCCCATCAAGTTTTCCATGTTTTCAGTTTTAAAGAAATGTAATGACAAAATTAATTCAAGAGTAGGGCCTACTGTACAGTGCCCACAAAAAGAATCTACCGGTTTAGAAGCATGGTAACGAGAACCTTCCTATTCAGCAAAACTTCTTTATTAATATTATCTTACATTTTGGTTTTTTTGCCCACCTTGAGAATTAAAACGAAAACCTGAAAACTCACTGCATTGGAGGCCTTCTTTGGAAATCACTTTTCCTGCGAATTTTCGTCAGCTCTGAAGGGGGCCCATCGTGAAACTCGTTAGCATGATCTTGGGAGATACTCCGGGTCTGCTTCACTAACGGATGTTGTTTGCTCTGGGCGCCGAGATTAGAAGCGGACGACGGGTCAACTTTAACTGCTGCGTCTGGTGAGTCCATGCCGTCCGGATCGAGAAGACCGTTGTTTTCGTCTCCAGACATACAGCGTGAAAATTCTCCTTTATTCTGTCCTATTTCTCCCATTCTTGCCTGATGCATACACACTGGTGATCTTCAGGAAATACTCGTCATCGACTCCCACTCGGGAATTGTTACAGGAAACTTGCGCAGGAAGGACTTTGGAACTTCAACAGTACCAAACTTTCTCTCAAAAGTTTTCTCATTCCTGTGTACGTGTGTGAGCGCTGTGTTGAATGACCATTCTCAAAGGGCCTCGAATGCTAGTTAGCGACAACTTTTGCCTGGTGACTGGTACGCGCGTCATTGTCACCCCGTTACATAATAGGTCAAGTAATAATGAAACCAGTTTGGCGCCCCACTGAGAATTTAACCGAGTTGCGAATAAACCGCGAACAGTGTTTGGACAGGGCGCCCCCTCCGCCTTGTTTACAGTCACGTCGAAAATGTGATGAGGTCTGGTACTTTTGGGCAGAATGTCAGTTTGCTCTGGACTTTTCAAAGCAAATTACTCTCAATATGAAGAGAAATTGAGTGCAAAGAAGAGCTGTCCAAATTTTCATTTTCAAAAGATGGCTTGCCGGATGTAAGTTTTGTTCCATGTACTTCAGCCCACCTGTTAAATTGGAATAAAGTTAATTTTGATAGGACACAGGCAAAGAGAATCGTCGGGGAAAAAGGATCACTGGACCAAAATGTCTTGCTTAAGAACAAAAATGAATCATGATGTCAGTGGCATAAATCTGTGTTGGAAATTTTGGGATGGGATTTCTTTTTTTAGTGATTTTGCAAACATTTAAGTGGTTGGGAAATCCTGAAAATTCTTCAGAATCTTCTTTATGTGTTTTTGCTCATCACAAAAAATGGGGAGGCGGTGATTCAGTAGCCCCCCCCGAAAAAATAGTGGGGATATATTTCACATCCCCAGGGATTTACACTCATGCATAATGTATATCACAAACATGCCATACTGAATATTACTTCTAGAAGTCCATACCAATCACTAACAAAATCCCTCCACACAGAAATCAGGACATCATGTCAACAAACCTCTAATTTTATTACATTAATTACAAAAGTACCAATTTTTCAGATTTTATTCCCGACGGTAAAATAACAGCCCAATATTTAGGTCAAAGGTGAATCACTTGATCTGACTCTCTGTAGTCTGGTTAAGATTGCGCAAACCCGTTGTTTAGTTTTTTCACATGTAACGAAAGGACGGTTCGCTCAGACTAAAAGGGGACCAGACCATATACTTTTATGTAGATTTTATGATGATCTTATTCATCATCACATGCGCTAGCTCAGTAGCTGGTTAATTTTTTTCCTGATGAAGCACTAACCTCGAGAGCAGTGCGACGTCGAGCTCTTCTTTACTTACCGGGGAGTGAGGCGACAAGCTTTCACCATGAGCAGTCCCAATCCGTTGAATTTGCCGCTCGGTTCCATAATGGACAAGTGGGTTTTGAAGGTGAGCATATTTTCCGAGGTTTTTGGGGTTATTGGTCGTGCAGGTTCCAATTTATAGGGTGTGCAGTGAGCTCGCATTTGAGAAAATCGATGTGAAGGTTTGTTTGGCATGTTGGGGATCTAAAACATTGTAAAACAACGCAAGAAAGTGAGGATTATTTTTAGCTGAAATGAACCAAAAGTCGGATTGTCTGTTGAAATAAGCCTTTGGCAGTGTGTTATGCCTAACAGTTCATTTGGTTTTCTCACTAGCATGACTAGCATGACTTAGCACGACCGGCCGTGAACAGGTTGGAAAACCCAGTCCATCTGCCTATGTACTACTAGGTCCAGGGTGACCAGATTTTAGAAAACGACGTATACAACAGCACACATTGCAAGGGTGTGGAGTGCCTTAGGGGTTGTCAAGAACTTTTCTTGAATTGGAGGGTCAAATCATGCAATTTGACTTACTTTAAAAAGTGTTTATCGTTTCATTGCACTGCAAAAGAGGATTATTACATTTACTCTTCATTTAATAGAAGAGCTGACTCTGGCCTGAACGTACATTCACCTTTCACCTTTTTTATTAGAATCGGTTACTCTTGAACTTGAAGCCATCATTAAATTCTGATTCCTGATTATTTCTGAAACTCCGATAGAAAAACTACGCAGCTTCTAAGAATGTATAATCTGGAACAAGTTTTTCCTTGACCAAAGATTTCCTGACGAGTGACGACCACCGACAACCCCAAATCTTATAGTTATACAGTACCTGGATCTGTTGTCTAGGTCTCGGTCTTTGCTTCATTAGAACTGTGCTGAGATGCACAGACAGTAGACCTGGCCATAGCCGTGGAAGCCTGTTTTGGACACGGCCTTTAGGTTGGTCATTATCAATCGCGGTTATCATAACGAAATTCAACAAGAATAGTTGGAATCGTTGGGTATGACTATGCCAGACTATGCCGAGTGCACATACATGTACATGCTGCAGGCTAGCGAGCAATATTATCCGTGGGAGGCTCGACCTTGAGCAGCCTGCGATCTTGAGAACATTGCACCTGGGTACATGTAATTTCTTTGTAGTTTCATATAATTTGTTGAAATTGCAAAATACAGGAAAAAAATGTATCCTGGGAAGGGTCAGTATGGGACGCGGGACATAAGGGCAAAATAAGGGACGATTCCATAAAATATGGGACGCCTGGTCACCCTGCCATGCACACAAGCATGTTCACCATCATGCTTGCGTCGTGCCATGACCATGATGGCATGTAGTGAAAATGTCAACAACCACTCTTTTGGGTTTCCAAGTTGTTTTTCCATGTGTTAAAGGTACATGTAGTCTGCCCGACCATGTCCAAATGTTAAAAAAGGCAATTACTTGAATCAGGTGCTATGTTTATGGGAGCTTAGGAAACTTAGAGTTACTTAGTCTAGTAGGCTGTTCAGAAATATGTAGCATTAGAGGCTCATCTGTGGGGAGATTTGCCATTTTTGGAGGTGGAACACATGCTATCCGTGTGCTCCCCAGAACTGTGGGATTTGGCGCCCACCACACGCGCGGCGGACATAGAACCTCACAGTTCTGAAGAACACACGGCATAAAAATTGCAGGGTTTTTCCTCCCTTTTCAGGCATTTTGATGGGCCAGTAATATTAATATCACTAAATGTGTTCTGTTCCTGTCAAGGTATCAAGTTATTATTCATGAAGCAATTATGGAACTGTTTTGAAATACATTGTACTGTACATGGTGTGGGCCTCGTTACACCCTAACCAAGAAGAATGTTAAAGTATAATACCTCTCAGTTTGGAATGAAATGATGAATTTTGGAATTTACGTGAGCAAAAACTGTGTATCCCAGAAAGCCGAATTCTTTTTTAATTGACTCTTTCCTTTGGTTAAACTACATGTGCATCACTGTCGATCAAAGAAAAATGTAATTAATTCACAGTAAATCTACATGTATCTTTTTCATGACCCTCAGAAGGCTGGAATGAATGGAATGTTTGTGATCTTTATTCAGTGGCTGCAGACACAGTCTACGGGTAGTCTGTTTTCTCTTTTGCAAACAAAGCTGAAAAATCAAATCTGGGTTGACCATACCTTCGTGAATTTGGGTTGACAAAGTTCAAACTGGTTGAAGAGTTGAGTTGGCATCCAGATTGGTTTTCTAATCAGTGAGGGAGATATCATTGGATTGCCCTGATTGAAGAAGTTTCCCCACAAGAATGGTACATGTAAAGCCCTGGGGTCGGAGATGTTAATGCATGCATATAGGCTCTACAGGCCACATATCCATGTACATGTACAGTACAGGTACATACATGTATGTACATGAAGTCGCATTCTTCAGAATTTAAAATCCTTTCCCACACCTCCCTGAAAACTCACCCAAATTCTGAAATGTCACGGCAGGCTCAGAGTGGATGGGTTTTATTCAATATTATTGGGCCACACCTTCCTAGTTCATAGGATGTGTGTCAGGATTGTGCTGTGTGCTACTTTGTTTATAAAAGACGTACATGTATACATGTACAGAGTGTGCTTAAGATTTATCTGGTTGAAAGATGGGGAACATTCTGGGAACCAGAAATGTGCAAAGGTTTTTGATTGCAAAATTTAGGATAACCACTGGTAAGGGTGATGACATTTTAAAAATGCTTACTGTGCTACGGTTGACACCGGGTCAGAAACAGTGTCACATGCAAGAGAGGTCAAACCTCAACATGATAACCAAACCTCGTCATATATCGGTCTCAAGCACTGTATGATACATGTAGCATTCAAACTTGAATAAAACATGTTGAATTGCAAATTACTAGTACATGTACATATGTATCAGGCACACCATATGGAGTAGAGCTGTTTGTTTGTTAGTATGCATGTCAGTGTAGGTGTGGGAAATGTGATTTTTCACCCTGTCATGCCTGTAGCAGGAGTTACATCCTCAAATGCATACATGTGCATGTACATGTACATGTATGCTTGTCTAAGCCATAGGCTCAAAAACACAAATTTAAACCACACACACACTGGTTTGTGTGTTCGGGTACCTGTATGTCCGTGCGTGACTGTTTGCAGCCTTGTTATTTGGCACAAGGGTGAAAGGTGAATTCCTGGTGATAGATCACATGCCAGTGAGCACGTGCTGGTATTTTGCCTCGTCATTCCCTGAACAGACTCAAGGAATTAGATTAAAATGGATTCTACGCAAATAAGGTCTATAAGTCAGAAATGGAGAGTGATTATTGTCCATGAACCTTCTGAAATACCCACCCATCATAAACATTAATTGAGAAACAAGTGAAGGGCTTTTTTCCCCCATTTCTCATTGGTAATTGTACACCATTGTGACATTCTGTATAGACCTTTATCGGGATGCTGCTCTGTTTTGTCCTGACCCTGTGTGCCAGATGACAAAAGAAATGTTTTTCTTCCATCCTCAATTTGATTACATTGCTTCCAGTGGTAGAAAGACATGATGGCTGCCCCATGATAAAGGTTATTCATGTAGGCAGACTCCCCAGAACAATGTGAGTGAAGTCGCTTAACATGCCATAATTAAAGACTTGTTCTTGTTAAAGACCCAGTCATTGCGCTCTGCCACTCTGCAGTAGCCAAGCCATCCATCACAAATGTCTCGTGTACTCCGGCAGCACTAAACCAATGTTTGCCAATGTAGGCCCCACGGATAAAATTAGCAGAGCTGGCAGGGTGTGAACGCGTGAGTTGATTTTACTCAAGGACTTGACGGTATTGACAGAGGCATTGATCCATCATCCAGGCTTGTTCTGTAGCACACTTTGCTCAGAGGTGCTTGATGAGAGTTAAAGTCTTTTAATTAATAAAGGCAGTTGAGATCTGAGGGAATGAAACGTCACCTCCATTTGTAAAGACGTCCAGGTAATATTTTGCTACTGCTGTCAATGAGATACGATGCCAATGCAATTTTGTCTGTGACTAGCCATTTGCGCGATTGTAGTGGTTGCAATGCATAAACATGTTGATACTTGACCACATTTCTCTAGGTACCAGCAAAAAGTGAAATTCCTTTGAATATATGTCGTTAGTGGACTCTAGTCTATAATTTACATTGTATGTTGTGCCACCTCTGTGGACTGTTCATAGATCATTCTCAATCTTTTTACCCCAATGGCCCTAAATACTACAAAGTACCAATAGTAGTAAAACGAAGCCTACAGCGCTGTCGCTTGTATAAATGTACATGACCTTATAGTTCTCTGAAGCCATAAAATACAATAGATAAGACAATGTACCGTATACTACAGTGTTATAGCACTATGAATGCACGACTTTATTGTTCTCTCTGTGAGTAACAGTGGAAGTGTCCTAGCCAGAAGTAGTCATTTGTAGCGCTAGGTCCTTCAGGCTCAGGCTGCTATTTAGTATTTTGTAGTACTGGGTACTGCAAGCCAAATTTTGTGTAGAACTATTAGGGTTAAATTCGGAGTGTGCTGTTACAGATTGTGGGGTATATTTACGTCATACTGTGCATATAAGCTCAGATCATACTTGTGTCTGTGACGAGCAGAGACCCTGAACACCAATTACAGATGTTCATTGGCTCCATTCATCATGCCTGATTGGATACTACCATGCCCCCAGCAGGATATTGGCTTGTGTATAATTAATTTTTGGCCTGGCCAGGGCCAGACTTTAAACTGTTAATTGTCGGCCACTTAAACAGGTAAAATGGACTTGATAGTGTGCAATATATACGGTACACATTTACATGTACACAACCTAAAAAATAATAATAGCCAATTAATTGATACAGTGTATATAAATCATACTGCTTACATGTACATACATGTACCTTAGGCCTACATGTAGTTAACAGACTTGTACTATGTGATACCTGTACTCACGCGCATATGGCATGTATACGTGTTTGCCAGTTATTAGTTGGCTTTTATCTAATGTGGCATTGTTTTTACTGAAGCGTGAAACATGTACAACGTATGTATCCTTTTAGAATTCATAAAAACACAATTGTTTTAACACTTGATAAATTTTTAGCAGTTTTTGAAGCAGAGCTGTATATTCGTACAGAATCTAATTCAATGATTATGCATTTTGTTTGTTTGTTTTTTGTTTCCCTGTAAACCAAGTGATCCACTACCGGTTCCTACATGTAACATGAGGAAGTACATGCACGGTGAATGGTATACTTATTGTTGGTGGTTATTGCATGTACATGTATAATTACCTTGTCAAATTGTGTGGCGTGCTCGTGAACGCGTATCTGTAAATCGATTAACTCGTACCTTTTGGCACATAAACACCTGGAAATTAATCAATATTCGGATATCATTTGCAGAGCGCCGTCTGTTTGTAGTTCCTGTGTCGCTTTAACTGAAGCAGAGCGGGACTTGAGGCAGGATGGTTGAATGAAAGAAACGGGAAGCTCGTTGACATTGACAGAAAGAAAAAAGTTTATGTTACAGTACACTTGCACATGCGAGAATGGATGGCCTTTGAGCATACACACCAGTACACCGTACAGTGTGCTCAATATGATGTATATTTTGTCACATTGGTTTGAGTGCAGAACTGTAAAATGCATGTCCTGGCGTACATGTACGTACATGTACATGTACCATACATTTACAAGCTTTACATAGGCTTACCGGTACATGTGCATAAACAGAGCCACAAAATGAATTGCTGTACTTTTGAAAAATTGTACATGTATTTGCACACAACTCCTAATTCCGTCAACTTCTGGATGGTCAAACATGATTGGTGGGAAGTCAAAAATCGCATAAAAAGACAACACGCACACACAGCAGTGTGCTTGTCATTTAATTAGGTATTCATGCCTATCGTTGGAATTGAACAAAAATAACAACATTAATGCAATTTTTCTATTCACATTTAAGTACATTATTTAGGAAAATGCCTGTCACACTATGTACATGTACATTTTGTATCAAACGTACCGGTATAGTTGGAAATTTTTTACATTGGGTTGGAAATTTAAAGTGCATAAAAACCAGATTGTGTGAGATTTTATCTGAGCACCAACGCGGGTACTGACCGGTACAAGCATGGTACAAGTGCTCAGAGCATTCACGGTACCCCCTTTACAATATACTGTACATGTATGTACATGTACATGTATGTAGTGTGTACATGTACAGAACTGTACATAGTTTGATTTTTTTATGTTATTTTCACCGGTATTTTCTTTTAAAAAAGATATTGCTTGTGCATATTGCGAAAGGCATTCAGGGACTGCATATCTGAAGTCATTTTACAAAGATGATTTTTAATGGTTTATATTGACAGATATATCAGCATACTAATCGTACATGGTTGTGCTGTTCATGAAATGTTTGCTTTCCTCTGCACACAGAACTGTGTACATGTACCAGTATATGGAATTCTATCTCTGTTAAATTTCCCCAATATGCATGGATTGTTTTACCCCTACGGTGTCCTGTGTGACTGGTTCTTCCTCCCCACATAGCCTGTCAGCAAATTGAATTGCAGCGGCGAGCTGGCCCACGGAGCCTTCGAGCCTCCCTCCCTCTAACACAGTATCTGAAACAAACGTGGGTCAGTGAGTATTGATTTCCCCAAAGTGAGATGAGACCATGGATGTCTCAACCCTCTGCCTCTTCTCCCTGACTTAATTTGTATCAGGGCACTGCATAATGCGATTGCGGTATCCCAACCCAACACGGTGTGCACATCTTGCATTGCCTTGGGAGAGCTCACACCATTTTTGATGGATCACAATTAAGAGACTTTCGCTGGGCTACTGGTTGTGGGAAATGGAGGGGGAAGTGGAGGGCTTGGATGATATGGGGAGGGGGAACGCAGGCGAGGCAAAAGCATGAAAACTTTAGGCAATTCTTGGCCTAAACCATGTAAAAACCCATCATGCATTTAAACTGATCAAAAAAGAAAGTGAACGCGGTGGAAAATCAAAAGTTCCTGTAGTCCTGTAATCTGTTATCTACTTTTGTTGTAACAGCATAATAATTATAAAGCTTGAGATACATGTACAGTATAGTCTAACTTTAACTGTAATTTGAAACAAATGTACCCGTACATGTACATGTACACGTACCGGTATACGTGTACTTAATGTATGCTCTCCTTAAATAACTTACCTACATGTACATGTACGCACCTGTAATGTTCTTTTCTCAACCTGCTCTTATTTCTTTTACACGTTTTAAAAATCCTTCTCACTTCTTTTCTGCCACTGGGGAACTAGATTGAATGTTACCGGGTAGGCTTTATACTGGGGTAAATGTCACAGTAGTGTTGAGGTGGATACATACTTGACAAGTAATGTGATGCCTACATGTTGCCGAGGGACATTGATTGTGGTGACATTTGGAAAAGCTTGTACAGAAAAAGCTTTAAGGCGAAAGTTCAGATGTCTTTTGCACGCTAGAAAAAGTTTAGTGGTTTTACAAGGAAAATCGACTTGAAGCTGCGTAGAGTTTTGTAGTTTTTTTCCCAATATTTTTAGATGTTGTGTTTGGAAAATACAAAAATGTTGTGTGTTTCTTTTAGAAATTTCATCGGTGATTCTTGTAGCAAATGCCGTAGAAAGTTAATCTTTTGGCCTCTGATAATTTACAATTCATTTACTTTTAAGGCGGGATAGGGAAAGAGGTAAACTCAAGTGTGAATAAGGAAAACAAGAGCTGTCTCACCAAAACAGCTAATTACAAAGCTGATTAGTAAGCATACCGGGTACATGTACTCGCACAGTACCAACCACATTCATTGCAGTGTCCCAGTCATTACACAAAGCCCAGTGTCTGTAATGGGCACTTGAAAATGTACAGGAACAAATGCATTTGGTGTCACATCTTTCAAGTTGTAATTATTTATTACCTGCTGGCTGCAGACATCCATTTAGAAGAAACACGTTTTGTAGTTAGTAGACAATCTGTCTCCTTTCTGAAACTGTGCCTTGGTTTGGGTCCTGGGGCCAGACACAAAATAAATTAGGTTTAGTGTACTCGGTGAATGCTAAAAGTTGCCTCAAAATGGCACCTTCCCCCCTTCAAAAAAGGAAAAGAATAGAGAAGAAAAATTAATCAACAGAATTTTCAGAAGCATCATCAAAGCAGTTGGTACCAAAGATTACCTGCAAATTATGCATTTACTGTTCATAAAGTGGTGTGTCTTGGTTTTGTGCGTTAATAATGTTCCATCCCCGAAAAATCAGGTTTTCAGAGGACTCAACCGTGGGATATAAATTTTGCCCCAAAAAATTTAGAATTTGAAAGGTATCACATCCCCATCCTTTGAAATAACATCAAAGGAAATCTCTTATGACTACATCAGTTAATTCTTTTGTGGCCCAATAATCAAAAGGAGGAGGGCTGCTTCATAACCTTTGTAAAGCTCTCACTGAGCTATCACAAATCGCCATGGGAATCAATCTATGTGTAGGTCGTTATCAGAGTCCTGGCAATTTTGAGTTGTTTTCTTCCCTCTAATTGAAGGCATGTTTATTGACGTGAACAAGCCAGTAGTTTACTAATGAAATTTAAAGTGCTTCATGCACAGGTGTATGTGGCAGTATGATACATGTATGTCTGCATACATGTATGTACACATTTTCATAATTGATTAGTATTCAATTTAAATAGCATTCTCAATTCATTTAACAATTTCACTTGATCAGAATTAGCTATGACTCTAAATAGTCCTTACTAGGGTAGAGTTATTTTGCTAACTGTTTATACACTGTACAGTGTACATATACATGTACAGTATGCTTATCACATGTACACGTATGCACATGTGCTTGTACGAGTATACACGACCATTCTGTAATTGTGTAATGTTGATGTTTGACACATGTACATATTTGTACAGTCCATGAGTCACATGAGCCTTTCAACCTGCTGGTTCATGTATGTACATGTACAGTACATACATGTACATGAACACGTACATGTACATGTGTACACCTAAAAGTAAGCAATTTGAATGCCCACAATTTCTAGGAAGTTTTTAGTATGATTTTTGCGCCTTGGCTGTAAAGAAACATGTATGAGACATTGCAGAGCCAACCGAGTGGAATGAAAATCTTGAATTATTCTCCAAGGTTTCCCATCATCTCTTTCTCTTTTTCCTCCTCCTCTACAGATCATTGTGGCAACGCACTTCCTCTTGACAGTATGGTGAGTGCATGGATTACTGGGTTCTTTTTTTTTTTCCCTCACTATTGTACCCCAGGGAGCAAAGACTGCCTGGATCATTCCAGCCCTCAAAGAGGGCACTTGAGGCCAAACAAATCTGTCAAAATGAGAAATTTAGGATTGGCATGCATCCCAACAATGTGCTGAATTTTCTGGGAGCGACACTTAACTAAAACCTCACGCCCACACGTACATGTGTGGTTTGACAGTTTATGCATTCATGAAGTTGAACGTCATTAGGCAGACCACATTCATGTGAATGTAGATTGTGACAGAGTGAGGCATACACGCGTCATTCTGTGACAGTAAGGACTAAATTCATGTTGATGCGCATTTAGTTGGTTTAAGTTTTATTCGCACCCGCGTTCATCAACACGCACAGGTCTGCGTTGCGTGTGTGCACCTTAGTTCGAAATCCTTCCTTTTTTTGTCTGGTTTGTTCAGTTCTATCCTTGATGTTGATTACGTTTGAAGTTAGAGATTACATTTAATGCTACCTGAGTTCAACAAAGTCATTAGAGGAAGACATCACAGTGGCCGGCTGTCACATGTGAAGTTTAATGTACAGAAACCAATTGTAGCATTACCGACACAAGTAGTATACTGTACTTTACATATCCAGTCACTGGGAGCGCCTCTCCTGGTTAGTTGTCAGTTTTGTATGCCCATTCGACAAAATTTCAGTTTCAAGTTGTGTTGTGAAATATCGGAACATGTACAGTGTACATTTGTAAAAGTAAAAGTGAAATGCTCTTTAAATGAAACGTGACCATTTTTGCATTGCTTAATTTAATTCTGTGATACATGTACTGTACCTTCTAGTTCCATGTCTGAAGGTTGTGAAATGTTGAAAGTCAAGGACCATGCCGTCTTGGTCAGTGTTCATTTACCGGAGTGTAGCGTTTGTGTTTACACATTGAACATTTTGGAAATGGAGCTATGCTCTTCATCATGTTTGAAGGAAAAGATCACACAAAATTGGTCCTAAATTGAAAAACAAACACGTTTTTTGTAAACTGTAAAAGAATTGCTTACAAATGCTAAGAAGGTGAAATGAAAAGTTCACACCACCTTTTTCATTCCTTGAAAGAAGAGACATTTGGTAAGAATGGAATAGGGGGGGGGATAATCTGGCCGTCCACACTTGCATTATCTTGATTAAGACTGGCTGTCTCCATAACTCAAGAGAGGAGAGGTTTTGATTGCCATGTAAATGCGTCACTCGTCAACTGGCAAACTCAGTCCTCCTAACATTGATCTCTTTGCCATTTGGAACGGACGCAAAGGAAGACAACAGACCCTGCTTCTTCCTTGTCTGTAGTCCCGCACCGGCCATGGAAAATAAAAATTTTGTTGATTCTAAGTGACCACCTACACATTTGATGGAGAATTTTATTTCATAAAAAAGTTTCCTACTTACAATTTTCGTAAGGATCTTCAGATTGATCCAGCTATTGTGATATTCATTTTGATTTTGCCAGTCATACGTACCTTCAACAGACCTCTCAACCCTCTTGATTTGGGCGGAAAATTTCCACTTTTCACTTTGTTTCAGCAATTCCGATGTTGCCCCTAAAAATTCCTCCAAAATTTTGACACACCTATGCATTACCAGAAACTTACCGTGTATCTTGTGCATGTACTGTAATACAACTTTTCCGACCCACCTCAACGGTCAATGCAGTGCAAGTTGCATGAGCCACATCCGTGGCAGCGCCCTCTTGACGCATACCAGCCACAAGATGGATGTGATACATGGATGTGATACCAAAATCGTTCATGGATGAAACAGCCCTCTATCAACAAACTACATTGTAGCTAAGATTGTATGGGTCGCGTGGCACCCAGTTTCACTAGGAATGGCAGCTAAGAATGTTCAAATCCAAGATTAAGCATTGACTTCCAAATCGACCACGATCACATCAAGTGTGCAAGCACCACACAGTGCATTTTTCGCTGAATTTCGTGCTGAACTTTGCAGTGAATCAACACATTCAGGAGATGAAAACTTATTGTGGACCATTGCAGATGATGTAAACTCTTGTGGAAATCAACAGTTTGTGGAATTGGTGAGAATGTGCGGTACTGTACATCATCACGGACACGGATTCAACCCCTTTACAATGCAGCACTGAGTTTTATGTGCTCATGTTAATATGGAGAATATTCCGATTTTTCATGAAAAATTCCGAATTTTGGGGAGAGGGATTCCAAATTCTTGATGGCCAGTGTTGGGAGGTCTGCTTGAACATTATGTTTTAAAAATGTTTAATGACAGAAGTAGGCATGGTTATCAGAGAAAACCTGTCGGATAAGATGAAGTCAGTTGGATAGTACATGTACATGTCTAGGTACTGGACATGTACATGTACATGACATGGAAGTATTGCTCAGCCATACCAAAATAGATCCTATGCACAAGAGAAATACATATAGATGTACTTATGTACTTGTCAAATGGGTTGCATATTTTTCTTTTTTGAAATGACTGGGAAAAAGGACTCCATTTGCATGTACAGTACATACATGCCTCCCCGCCTCGGGGGACAGAAGGGGGCCTGCTCAGTAATGATCCTTCCGCAGGTTCACCTACGGAGATGTATTCACTTTTTTAGTTCTTAGTACCGATAGGTTTAGGAGTTCTTTGGGGGCATACTCTGAAAAGTTTTGCTGTGACATTTTGTGAAACTACAGTAAGATCCCTGATGACATGGATGATGTACCATACATGTACACAGGCAACTCATGCATGAGTCTGTTGGCACTCTATCAAACCTTCAGTAATTATGTGTGCATGTATTGTGCAGTGTACAGCATGTACATGTACATTGTAATATGCAGGTTCTATAAGCTCTGAGCCAAAATTTATGTCACATTGTTGATCTACCATGATCACTGATATTGAAGAGGAATTAATACTGAGAAAGGATTTCTGCTTGGTAAAATGTAAATACATATCCCACCCCAAAAAAAAGTACACAGTTGTTTCTGCTCTTATAACAACTGAACGTTGGATCTGACAAACTCTTACAAATTAGTGTATAGAATATTTAAGTCTGGATGCGTTGGAAGCATCATGGGAGGTGATTAAAGTTCATTTACATAGCTTGAACGCCGCCTCAAAATCCGGTGAGAGCGTAACCCTATTCCGACATCCATCCTGTGCTTTCGGACATCGCTGCATGTGTGATGTCATGCATTTTGAATGAAAAGAAAAACTGTGTCGGGCTGGAATGGTGAGTGTTTGTCCAACAACACTCTACTGACAAGTGGGTCAAACAATATAGGACGGGGAAAAAAAACCCTTTCACTCTTCCGTCAACAGATACCTGATCTGGGTTTTTGTTGGTTTGAAGTGAATCATATGAGTATGGCTTTTAAATCAACTCGTTGTTTGGGTTTTCTTTTTTGGATTCAAGCAAAGTTAAATTTGTGTCAGGATTTTCAGAAAGAAACATCCGTCAATATTGCAAACCAGTACATGATGTACATGTCATGTATTCAGGCCACGATCCTTAAGGGAAATAGACCTAAAAACATGCAGAAAGCCCCAAGTTGATGCAACTCTAGTTGATGAAAACACTTACATATACATACATTTACCAGGGATTTCAGGAAATGAAATGCCTTGACGTATGGGATTTCAAGAAAGTGAAGGACATCTGAGAAAGATGTTTGAGACCTTTTTTTCCATTTTTATTTAGCAGGGCAAAGTTTCTTGAAGATTAAATATATGCTGTTCATTTTTCTTCTTGATTAGGGCGCAACTTGGGGTTTTCCTCCCAAGTGGATACGAGTACATGAACATCATCCTTATTCTGACTGGCCTGTGGGCCGTAGCAATGCCAGAGAGCAAAGATAGTATGCATATGGTAAGATTCTTGTCCATGTTGATCCAAGTCATGGGTGTGGCCAGGATATTTTTTGGGGGGAGGGAAGGAGAGAACCACTTTTTTTCCGGCGGGAAAATTTCCTTGGGGAACACCCCTCAGTAGGAACTGATAAACCTGGCCCCCTCCTATTAATTAACAGTTTTTGAGGTTGTTTCAAGCTAATCAGTGATTTTCACCCCTTACACCTTTTCTTCCCATTTCTGTTGCTTTTTTCCTTTTGGATTTTTCAAATTACACCGGGGGAAAGTGCCTTCTCATCCCTTGCCTGTAAAGCGATGCGCAAACACTCAATCCGTCCTTACCCTTCCCAAGATAGAAAAATCTTCTGAACTCTCTTATGACCATACAGTGTCAATCATGAAATGGACGTTAAAAATGTCACTTAATGATAACACCGTCAGCTGTCTTGGATTCAACTCAGGTGCCATTTACAGCAGTACATCTATGTACGTAGTTGAGAGTGAATCCCAGCTTTCAGTTCTAGAGGATAACCAAATTCTTGTTGGATTTATCGATAGTTTTTCTTCCTTTCTTTCCAGTTCTTCATCTTCCACCTCATGAGCATTTTGACAGACATCATTTTCCTGGGCGTGTTCTTTGGACCATCTCAGGATAGCCTCTGTGAGTGCTATTCTGCTGTTTTCTGCTCGTCTGCTTAGTGTTCATTTTCCTCTGTGCTTACATTGGACAAGTTTGATCAAGGACCACTAGTTACCTTTTGGTTGGTTCATGACGTACCTAGCACATGTGCAGTAAAGTTGAAGTGCGAACAAGTCAACCGTCATCAGGTCATTATGCCGAAGGGAGAAAAAGTGGCCGCAGGAAGGACAAAATAGCAGAAATAAAAGTGAAAATGGTCGTGCACTAGTAGCAAACTTGTACTGTTTTTCCAGCATTTTTCTTATCACTGGTCCTCTCTGCACTGTGCTATTCAAACTGTTTATGGCAACCAACGACACGACCAACCTCGATAAGCTGGTCGCAAATAGTTGAGTAGATTAGTCCACCCATCGTCAACTAGTGTGCGTTCGATGAGAGTTAGTCCAACTATGGTTAATTATGGTCCTTGATCAAACATGTACCCTCACACTTCACCCACTTAAATCAAGTGGTTGGCAGTGACTACTCACTGATAGTTTCAAACGTATTCCATAATTGTTGCATACATTGTACTCCCCTTTACAGGCACATGTACATAACACACTCTGATTTCTTTTACTCCATTGTAACATTTTTGCTTATTTTGGTATCTCAACAGGTAGTGGAATTACAACAACTGCTTGCAGCAACTTCCGATTCAGTGCAGGGTATGGTAATACCGTACATGACCATGTGACCAGATTTCTCACAATGAGGCTTGAGGCCATTTTGTCAGTAGCTTTTATTTTAATTTGCATTAGAAAGAGCAAACAAAGTTCATGTGTTTTTGATGCATTACGCAGTGTGGCATCTTGAGGACAGAAGGAGAAAAAGCAAGCCATAGCATTTGGACATTTTGGCCTGGTTCCAGCCAAGTCTTAGATGAATTCCCCCAAAAGTTCCTTGCTGGTAGTGATGGCAAGATATCAGAATTTCTTTGATAATTGGGGCATTTTTTTCTCCCAAACATCCAGGATGGCCATCATTAACCTGATCATCAAGCCACTTAGCGCCATCTTCCTCTTTATGGAGCTGCGGCGGAGGAGTGGAGCCTACACAGGCTTCCCGGGTCATCCCGGATCCAGTGGCTATGAGAACATCGACCAGCCCATTCCGACCAATCAGCAGGTGGAAGCTGCCCAGCCCCACCAATCAGCATTGGATAAACCCTACCTACCGCAGTGAAGACACGCCTCCCGGAGCAATAGCTATGTGAGAAAAAGATACCAATACTGCAGTACTCATGAATATGTACGTTGGGGGTCCTTGTCATTTATGAATATTCATAATATTATCTTATTTGGGTTATGAATATTCATTGTACAGTTGCTGTGATGAATATTCTAATGAACTCCGCTTTTCATGTGTGAGTAGTGATTTGACAAACATGCGAGAGTCGTGGATCTCATTTGGATAATACTGTCTCGATCCAGTTCTATAAGATCCTTTCAAATGTTCTGTGCTTCTAAACTAAAAGGTGTCTCTCAAATGACATCACTTCCTACAAATTGCCACGTGCATCCGCAAGTGGGGCTTCAAATTCATGACACGCAAGCGTTTTGGATCAACATTTGCACACTGCACGCACATGCACCTGATGGCCTTCGGTACGTAGTTATAATATTCCTACGAAGCTGGCATCGTACATGTATGAGAGAGATCTACATGTATACCTAGAAAATGGCAAAATTCTGGAAGGGGAATTGAAATTAATTGCACAGAAATCATTCTTGTACTCAAGGGCCTTGTAGAACTGAGCGAAATGTTTGCAAGAGAAACGAGCAGCACTCATGAATACATCTGCTTGGATAAACGATCCTGATGAATATTAATTATCAGGAATTGGTTGGTTGGTTGCTGGGGGCCAGACGGTTGTGATGTAGGAATGTACATACATGTACACCGTACTGTTGTATTTTGCTTACGAAGATTTGTAGTAGAAAGTGGAAACTGTACGTAGCTTGAGAAGAGTTTTCCTGTCTAACATTCCATTTGTATTCTCAAGCAATAAGAATGTCAGTGTATCAGATGGTCTTTCTTAGATAACGGGCTAGGTGTTTTGGTTTAGAACCAAGTTATGCTGTTCTTTTACCAGTGGGTCTTAGAGGAGACAGTTGGGTGGAAGTGGGTAAATGCTTGGAGCATAGGCGAGGATTTCATGTTGAGGTGGTGGCGGTTCTCTGGTTCCCCTTGCTAAAGTACTTGTGTGGTTTTGCTAGGATCTCATTGCACATGTAGGTTGCAAAACAGGTCCACAAGACCTGACTGGGACTTACACTCGTCCATGCAAGGTAAGCAACTTTCTGAAAAACAGTTTAAGAGGTATTTTAGATTTGGGTTTATCTGTGGCAATGTAAAGAGGAGATGAGTTTCAAGGAAATCATGATCAGAAATTGAAGGAGCATTCTCAGTGTTTTCCAATTGTGAGCTACTCCCAACATCAAGGAATGCCCGTGTAAAGGAACGTTAATTGAGTCTGTTAAAACCGGCGCTCACTCATATTTATTGCATACACAATACACTAGGTTTGTGGACATTCAGCGGAAAATTACCTGTCCTGGCCAGATGTGAAGAGGAAGCGGTATATGCCTGTAGCGTGTTCACTATCTAAGCAGGCGTGTGACTTCTTAAATCTGCTGGTTTTCCTGTTTTATACATGTACCTGCACTTCCCATGTGCTCCATTACAATTTGAAAAAATTGTACAATTTTACTGCAGCTTGGAATGGCTTAGATTTCAAGTGTCCAAGTTGAAAAATGCTTAACATTTTCTTCAGTGACTCCCACACCCTGTTGAGTAAACAGGTGTGAATGTTGTCCATTAACCCTAACCCTCCTCAATCCTTCACCTGTTGGAGGACTGAGGAGTGTTAGGGTTAATGCATAGAGTTCTTGTGCACTGTGTTTTTCCTGCAAGGGTTCAATGATCAAAGCACGGAGGCTCTACTCATGCCAAGGCCGTGCTTGAATAAGTTGGCCGTGGGCTTGCTGTAACGTATTTCTGTGGGAAACTAGCTGAAGCTGCTAGCTTGTGGCTCGTGGCTTTCATAGGTGCACTTGTCATTTCTAGCCACAGCCATGACATCTGGCCACCATAGCCAAATCCACAGACTTGCCTCAGTGGGAGCTGCACTGTGCAAGATCTCACATTGCTGCACCTGATTTGAAAACCTGATTAGCTCCAGAGGAAACTATATGAAATCCAAGTTTGACACGCTTGTAAATGAGCTGTTATATCTGAACTGCAAGTAAGTAGAGGGGAAAAATGTATAAAATACTTTTATAATTGTAAAAAGTGCTAATTGATTAAAAGTCCTTATTGATGTCTTATGCTCTGCGGGTACATGTAATTGATATGTAGGTAAGTATCCACCTTAAGCAAAAGCACTCCCTCATCCGTTAAACAGAGCCAGGTTGGTCAGGAGTGTTCATTTTGTTGGCAGCCATGTGTCTGTAACGCATGCATTTCATAGTTGTTTGTGAACTGGCAAAGTGCAGTTCCAACCAACAGAGCTAGGAAAATTGCTTCCTTTCTTGGTCCAGCTGGGGGCTCTTAAAGAAGTTAGTTTGAATCAAACATGGAAGGACCGGTTGCCAGTACATTGACTTTTCTGAGTAAAGCAGATCAGTTGCTTACGTTTCTGTCGAAGTTGACCTTGCAGTTCACATGGGGCCAATTTCATAGAGCTGCTTAAGCACAAAATTTGCTTAAGCACGAAAAAATCTTGCTTAATAAATCAGGTAACTAGCCAAAATTCTAGCCAAGACGCTGTCCGAAACATACCTTATACTGGTTTTACAAGGTTTTCTTTTTGATCATTTGCCTATTGCTTTCCACTGGTAAACAGGTGTTTTGGGATCGTACTTAGCTGTCTTTTGGTTAGCACGACAATCAGATTGAGTTTGAGCTGATAACCTTTATTTTTAAGCAAGATTTTTTCACGCTTGAGCAAATTTTGTGCTTAAGCAGCTCTATGAAATTTGCCCCTGGTAGTCTGCTAGAGTTTCATACACGTATATGTAGCTGTGTATGTATGCTAAAGGTTTGGAACCAGTATCGTTATGGATATGCATGTAGGTAATTTGCATATATATGCATGAACTTGCAGCCAATGGGAAAAAAAACCCAGACATATATAGGCTTCCTGCCCGCTTAGAGATTGTAAATCTTAGCAAAAGTGACCATCTCAGATGTGTGAATGACTAGTTGTTAAGTGTGCTTTGGGGCAAGCTGTAATCATGTACTCTGTACATTTGAAGAACTTCTATCCATGTATTATTGGCATTCAGAGTTGAAGAATGAAACGTATCCCATGTGATGGTTGGAGATTGTGTAAATGGATGTTCTTATGATAGATTATAACAGAATCATGATATTTTCAATAGAACCTGGACAGTCTGGGAACTAGTTGTCACCTGGGTACCCTTTGTAAGTATTTGCATGTGTCTGCCAATGTAGAATGTAACTCCATACTCGGCAGGAAAAAAAAATGAAGACATTGAAACAGATGCTGGAAAAGGGGTCTAACACTTGACATGCTTGAAAAAGACAAATGTATCTAACATTAATTTAACTCTCAAGAACTATTTCACGAGTGCTCCAGGGTGGGGAAGGGTAGCCTTGATTGAGTAATGGACAGTGTCAACAAATTGGTTGTATCATTTTCATTTGCATGCGTACAACATGAGATTTTCAATTTGAAATATTCTTTACATATTTTCCTGCAATATGTTTGGCTGTTCATACTCGTCTGAGACAAGGATTTTGTCTGAGAAGACTGTAGACCAACAGGTATTTTCGTGCATTTATATTATTACATCAGTTTATGTTAAATGTACATTTTTGAACTGTGAAATATAAGTGTATTCTGTATAAAGTAGGATTTTTGTCATTTTGTTGTGTTTATTTCACGAACATTCAGCCTGCCGAAGCAAGTTGGTTGATGCAGGTGTGGCAAGATTGTGCTGATCCAAGGGATGACCTTTGTCACATACCAACTTCCTTTTTATCAGATGGTCCCACGGAAAAAGGATTTAAAATTGTAATGAATATTACATCATTTTTATGAATTCCTACAGATAAACTTTTAAGACGTGGTTCTAAAAAAAAAGTGACCAAAACAGGCTGTGAATTTGTCCCCTCTTGAGCACTGAACTGATGTAATCAGTCCTGTGTGGACAGAAGCTTGTGCTAGCGTGACTACTGACACATCAGTGTCACCAGGGTTTTTTTTAGGAGGGGAGCCAGCAAAGCACTCATCAGCAGTGAACTGATAAACCGCTGACAGATGAAGGGGCCCAATTTAATTTTCTCCCCCTTGCGCATTTGTGAATTTTATTCCGTTATCTCTTTTTCAGTTCTTTCACCTCTTCCCCCCCCCCATATTTTTCGGGGGGGGGGGGAGGGGCAAGCACCCTTCCAGCCCCGTGGTGCCCATGTGGTATTCCAGAAGGTGTAGGTTCAAACTCCACTTTGTCACCATTGTGCAGCCTGGAATTGACCTTGGCGGTTTCTGCGATTTCTTTAATGAAGTTTTTGCATTGTTCATTTCAGCCCGTCGGCTGTTGATTTTTTGCTGGTTCAGGCAAATTTTGCTCCACGATGGCGGTGTAGAATCTTCCTCCCTTCTTAATGCAAACCCATTAGTCCAAACCCTGCTCAATGCATTATTTTGTTTTAAAACTGAACCCAGGGGTCAAGGTCAGAAATCTCAAAAACAATTGGTGGTCAGACAGGGAAAAGTAATGCTACTAATACCCCTAGTAAGTTGTAAAGAGTCGTACAATATGTCATCTGTAGACTTCCTAAAGGATGTTTCTTCCCCAATAAAGATGGCACTTACACATTAAAAAAATGTTTGCACGGTTTTGCAGTCCTAAAATGTTGTAAACATATTTGAAAAATTTCAGGCTGGAAAAGCAAATTTAAAAACTACTCATGAAAGTTCAACTGTTTCTAAAAAGTTTTCCAATTTAATTTATATTCACAATGGTAAGAACAGATTATCAGGAGCAGGTACAAACATTGTCAAATGTATTTACAGACCATTATGTACAAAAAGCAATAATTTATATATGCCGATCATCATGGAGCTATGTTCTCGCGCTGTAGACCAGAATCGAAGATGTGTAAAAACTGTCTCAAGATCCATCAAAATATCAATCTTCACTGAAAAATGGCTTCGTTAAATTTCTGCTCTTTCTGGTGCACTGAAAGTTCTATACTACTTGAAAAAGGAGGACCACTTTTTATTTTGTGTATACTTTTTTTTATGTGAGATATTTTTCTACTGAAAATGTGCATTTGATGTTTAGAAACATTTGTAAAAAATTTTATTCCAATGAGAACACCGTCTGGACAAACAAAAAATGGAAGAACGAGACCCCCCCCTCATTGCTTGGAAAAAACTACTAGTTACGAAAAAAGTGGTCGTTAACTTTTTGGAGTAGCGTATATTGAGCAAGAATACTTGTAAATTGCAACCCTAGATATACGGCACACAAATGTAGCAAAAGCAATGTTAAGCTGTTGCAGTCAGTGTCTGCTTCTTTATAAAAAGGTATGCACATGTCCACAAATGTACAGGTGATTCCAGTCTCCAATGCTTGCTAACTTTTAAATTTCTGTGATTGGCCACAAGAGGGCTCACTTTATGACTACCACTAAGTCATGGTGAGTTTTGGGTAGTTTCACGTTGTCACCTCCACAGGAGAATGAGTATTTAATAACTCTTATTCAGGGATTGAATTCATTACAAAGCTGGAAAAAAAAACTTGAATCACACTGAAAGACGATCCCACCAAAGTCCTAGTATCTCATAGAGAAGATGCATAATTTTTGCTGCCTTCCAAGTTTAATAACTAGGATGCAAGTTGCACTTGACGTGCCGATCAGTAAAAAAAATATTTCATGCATCTTCAGTGTCCGAGTGAATGACCTCTTCCGTTCCCTGGACATAAAAAGATGAACAAACCAAACGGCATACACCTAATTAGTGGGACAACTTTTATGAGTTACCAATACCAATCTCTGAGGCTAACTCCCACCCACCACAGCTCATGTAGCTCCTCCCCCTCCTAAGCACCCCCTCATTGATCGAAAAGAGCCACACTGATGGCGAGTGTTGATTTGCTGGTAGTGATGTGACCATAATGTGTGCATTTCATAGTCGTTTGTGAACCAACGAAGTGCAGTTCCCCACCAGAGAGAGCATGCACTAGGCTAGGAAAATTGCGCCCTCTCTTGGTCGAGCCCTGGCTCATGAGCACAATACACAAACAGCTCTCGGTCAAAGTGCCCGACTAACCGTGGATCTATATCTTACCTCTGCAGCTAACTCTTCCGCCCTCCTTTGCTCATACAGTTCCTCGGCCTCCTGTCTTTCTTCCTCATTGTACTCATCCTTGTCCAGTCTCTCCACGCGTCGGATGTTGATGAGAACTTCCATCCTGTAATCATCCTCATCTGAACAGGGACACTCTACCAGAGTAAGAAAAAAAAAAAAAAACGGACCCAGATGCTAACAGTTGGCCCTTCCTGTGGGGTGGTTTAACACACTGCACTTCCACTGTGGGCCTGTACTCATTTCTGTTCTCATTTGGTAAGGAGTTCATTTGTGCTCATTCAATTGAAAACTAACTTTGATCACTCTGCACACTGAAACTGGAAGCTCGGTGCATGTGCACTACTGAGTGTCCTGTAATCTTCTAACACTGCATTGCTCACTATGTCCATATTACCAATTCTACTTTCCTTACGGACCAATTTGTTGCAATTTCTCCCAACACTGAACTGACGGTTCCCCCAACACTGAACTGACGGTTTCCCCAACACTGAACTGACGGTTCCCCCAACACTGAACTGATGGATGCAAGAGAAAGGGGTTTGCCAAATACCGCCTTGGTCTACATCTCTAGAGTAGGATTCAATTTTGCACAGTTTATTCCCCTGATTAGTAGCCCTTAAGCTCAACACAGCTAATCCGCGGCCACAGTTTGGATTTCTCAGTTCCATCTGGTTTCAACACTGTAAACACTTCAAAGCCATGGCGGAGCATTTCAGAAAATGCCCAAGACAGATAGATTTGACATTTGGGGAGAAAAGGTCACACACCTGACATGATGAGCGCCCTCAACATGGGCAGACATTTCAGCTTGGCCGTCTCTTTGACGTCAGCCACTGAGTTGCCCCTCAGGTTGATGTACTGCAACTGCTTCATGCTCTCTGCAAAGCCGTCCAGCTTCTCAATCTGGTTGTCACGGAGATGCAGCGTGGTCAGGTGCTCTAGACGCTCAAGCCCCTCCACTTTGGTGATGAGGTTTCCAGCCTGTAAAATGAAGTCAAGGAGATTTTGTTAGAATGAAGGCAATCTAACAAATAGAAAAAGCTCTGAAAATTGGAAACTTTGGTCATCATTAGCACTACACCCCTTCAAACCAGACGCCCAAATAGGTCATTCACAGATTCATCAATTTAAGTAGTCACATGAATAAATGATGCAACACCTAGCATAACAAAGAAAAAAAATCACAGAATCAATTAGTCCACTGACAAAAATTGAATTTAACTTTGATTGAAGCCTTTCCAGCAAAAATTATTCGTGTGGATTAAAAAAAACAAAGACAAGAAAAGAAAGGAAAATATACAGTAAGGACATAAATTGAATTCCTTCGCAGAATCTACGTTACATCAAATGCTTGTGCAATAAGCGTATACAATGACAATTTGCCCAAGTGCAAACAGGGTGCACAATGATAATTAAGAATATTAATTTGAAAGCACATTCCTGGCTTCCGCTAGATTTCATCCGCCTCCCGGGAAATAGGATTATGCATTCCCATCTTTTGGTGCCTTCCATTCTTGTGAATTTCTAACATGATTTAGACTGTCAATTTGCACAAGGCTATGATTGCGTGTTTAGCTTTTTTTGAGGGGGGGACCCTGAGATTGTAAGCCTCTCAGTCATTTGGTTTAGTGGGGAGGATATTTGCATAATGGATCAAAAACATGGACGTGTCCATGCACAATTCTCAGGTGCCCCAAGGATATTTGCCTGGTAATTACAAATGAGTGTTTTCAGAGAAAAAAAGTGGGCCTAATGCTGAATGGAATTTAGGGAATTTATTAAATCACCATGAATTCATTAATCTGATGAAAGCGTGATTTCATTACGGCTAAAATGTCAGACTTAAGGGACACTTTTTTTCTATGACAGAAAGCTGCACCTTTGGCTGGGTACATTTCATTGACGACATGTACAATGTACGTTGAGAGTAACTTGCAAGGAACTTAACATCAGATTTATTTTCTAAATTGAATGACTTGAAACACTGGCATTTTCTTTAAATTACTTTGAATCCTTTTCCTGCACTTTGAATCCGTTTACTTTCAGCAGACTTTCTGGTGTTCCTAATAACATATCCACGCTTGTAATTACAGGCTTCACAAAAGCGTTTGATACGGTGTGAACCATGAAATAGCCATCATGTGCCCCCATTATTGTTCGGTGGATCACAAACTTCTTGATTGACCATGAACAAAGGGTAAGGTACAAACAAGCCCTTTCAGAGTGGCAAACACTCACTGGTGGTGTTCAATCCACAGGGCACTCAACTTGGCCCTGTAATATTCTATAATGCTGCAGATCATGTTCAGAGTAAATGCTGGAAATATAATGAATCTTAGATCTAGCAGAAAACTTGAAGAATGCTCACGTAAAACCAATCATTTCAATGACAGCCCAATTCCTTACCTTCCTTGACTCTTGAATTCATCTGCTCCACCCCTGCCATCTAACACCAAGTAATCTTTATCTATAGGCAATGTCTATGTAAGTGTAATTGTAATCCCCCCATCCCGTTTTTTTTTGACTGGCTTTCTTTGTATGTATATGTTTGTTGGTTGGTGATGTCAGGTTTTGATTTGTTGGCTTCTAGGTGGGGCATGTGTTTTTGTCCTCTAGTCTGTTTTGTTAATCAGGTTATTTGGCTTTTCCTGTTGTGATAGTGCAATCTGTTTCGGTTGTATTTCTTTCATTCTTTTATGAGCAATCACATTTTTATTTGACAATTTTTATGGTAATATTAGAAGTATATTAATTTCGGTGTTACAACCTTTGTCATTTTAATATCCTGTGTAAGCTGCTCTCAACTCAGCCTGCAGGCTGCTATGAACAATCAAATAAACCATAGTAATCATAATAATAATTTTCGCATTACTGCTAAGGAAACTGAATGACTGAGTTGTGAACAAATGTGAAGAACTCTTGCATAAAATAAGTACTGGTGTATGAAACATATTCAGTAAAATATCAATGTACAAAGCCTATTTCAAAAGGGACAAATTCTCAATCCTTGTTAAAATGAGCTATTCGGTTATCTCATTTCCTTTGCTATCAATCAGGGAAAGAATGCAAGCGAATAATTTTTTAACGCTTATTTCCTTTACAGGTTCCTATGTCTTTTATGACAATACCAGTGTGAATAACATGTATCTACACAGAGAGGTAGCGTGTTATGAACAGGAAATGAAGTCCAAATTAAATCAGATCTCTTGCAATTTAGCTTCTGGGTATACATGGTATGTACATGTATGTAACGATTCTCAGGGTCAAGTGATTTCATGACAAGTGATTGCCAGTACTTCAACTTAACTCCCAATGATGAAATTCTCCAACTGCAAGTTTTTTTTCTGTGTCCTGATTTCAATCATCAATATACATGTTGAATCATTTTCTGTTTACTTATATGTGGACCATCTCCAAAGCTGGCTTTTTTGTGTCTTACCTTCCTTCCTTGTTACATATTTTGTGCCAGTGTTCTGATTGTGTTTACCAGTAGGATTCAATTCAAGGAGCCCCTTGTAGATGTACAGTGCACTGCATGTTGGCTGGTAACCTACTTTGTAGCTAAGCAAATAGTTTCTGTGCTAAGCTTATTTCTGCACTTAACACCTCTATGAAATTGGCCCCCATGAGCTTAGCACGTCCTTGAATGTCTCTGTTTACCACTTTCTGACTTTATACATGTATATGTGCTTGTTTTTATTTAGGAATTTCTTTTGCATTCACTTAATTATTTTCTACATTCTTTGTTAACATGATCTTGTAATGCCGTATAATGACTCTATCTGCAGATTGATACTTTCTTTGAAATGGTCGAATTTGATTGACAGGTGACAGTAACATTAAATACTCTAAAGTGCAGGTCCAGGTGAGGTTACATTTACATTTCACACTTGAAACATGAACCCACCCAAAATAAGGCCATCAGGAGTTCTTGACAGCAATTGGATACTTCTATGAACAATTTTATTTTTATGGACCTTCTCACTGGCTATAATTGGGTTTGTTTTGTTACATTTGTCACAGTTTGAGATACACGTTTCTCAGTACACTATGACCAGCAATCTTCAAAGACTAAAGGAAATGATGATTAAGCACCCTCAAAGTATGCCACAAGGAACACTAAATATACCAATTTTCAAAACTGGTGATTCAGTAAGTGCTAAGTCGATTACATAACAGCACAAGGAAATAAGGCTGAGTTTGGCTAAGAAAAAGTCAAATATATGACATGTCAAGGATACATCAGTGCCATTTTGTACTTTGCAGATTATGCAAAAAAGGAAGTACAGGAGAGATTCGATCAGAAAGGTTTACTGTGAGAATAGGCAGAACGACAACACATTGAAATCTAGTTGCTCAATGAAAGAATGACTTGGGGAGGAAATAAAGTGATAGTGTTTGCAACCGTGGTACTATGGGTGAAACCCCTGAATGTTAACAGTGTTGAAAAGCAGTTTCAACCGTAAAACACAAGGTCGAAAACAGTGTTGTTCTACGGGAACATACTGGTATCATTTACTGGTGTTAGGGCCTTTGTGACATTTTCCTGGTTTTGAATTTTGTTTCAATGACATTGATTCCTCTTTCTGCCTGCACAAAATTGGTCCCTGGCAGAGATTTTCACAGGGGACTCCAAATAACATTTGGCCTGATCCAGAGAGGCGACTAGCAAAATTATGGTCAATATTATCTTCAAAATGTAACTTGTTTTCACAAAATATAGTATTACATTATTACATATTGACTTTCACTTTCAACATGTAACCTGAACATAACATATTTATGTTTATTCAACTGTGGATATAAATGAAACAGTTCTCATAAAAGGTTTACGTTTTGGCACACTTTGTTCGGTACAAAATTTTCACTAGCTTTCAAATAGAAACGGTTGAAAATGTTTGCCAAGAGTCGTTAAATACAAGCATTATAAAAACTATAATCTTGTGAATTTCCTTTGTGTTGCTTCTGTAAGCAAGGTGTGAGCATAATCAGCATATATTATGTAGTATTTTACTGGGTTAGGATTCAATAGTGCTGATTTCCATTCTTTTTCTGACAGATTTGTGCATGATGTTAACTTACCAAAAATAAGTTTTTCAAGTTGGGCAGGTAGATTCCAGCTGTAGTTGTTAGTTTGTTGCCTCTTAACTCCAGGGTATGCAACCGCCCAAGCCTGGAGGGTTCCAGTCCACTGATTGCACTTATTTCGTTGACTAGAAATGAAAACAACACAAATGTAACAGGCAAAAAGTACCCTCCCCCCCCCAAAAAAGCGTGCATTTTTTGGATGCATGTTCTGAGTTGGTCTGATGTACACGTAAGACAGCAATATAAATACTTGGAAACAGAATTTTATAACTGACATACCGGGTACATGTATGTTGAACAGTGCATCAAAATCACTTTAGTTGAGAAACAATCATAATACTGACACAGAAAGGTATGGAACTGAAACATCGCTTCTAGTGACTGAACATAAAAATGACAACTTTGTTGAAATTGTCTGGAAAATCAACGAGAACAAAGAGTTGTGATATACACGGACATATACACTTACATGTAGCTCTACATATTCTTACTTGACTGATTAGGTAATTGTCCAACTCGCTGAAAAGTTCATGTACGTGTTTACGGACACTTTAGACTTTAAGGTAAATTTCTAATAGTGTGACAAAAGAAATGATGGTACCAAGTTTCTTTCGGTATCCTTCCCCCCCAAATAAATCCATGTCATTAAACCACCAATGGTCCAAATTGGAAAGAAGTTTCATGTACACCAATCAAGTCTAATGCCTCAACTAAATAACTACTTGGTTTCATGCTACTGTGGAAAATGCTCACTGCTTAATTAAGAAAACAAAATTCATACTTCAAATTGCCATCTTCAACTTGGGTGGTGAAAAACTACAAAAGTCTTCTTTGATTTATGGGACTTTGAGAAAATTCTGTAGCTACACGTACATGTATTGAGTCTGTAAATCAGTGTGGAATATGTTCAGCGTTTTTTCCCCTCAAAGCCCCGTGTTGGTCTGAGAAATTTAATGTCCCACTCTCAATCCGTCTCCTCAACAAGTCATCCAAACCGGTATCGTAATGGTAATTTTAACCTTACGATGGTCGTACACTCTAATGTAAAATTCTTAAATACTATCAATCCTCTTTTTAAACTTTGATCAACTGAAACTTGACAAACTCCTGTTATTGAATGTATGACGGATAAACAATCAAAATAGTTGTCCCAAATTAATTAATTAATACTGTGATGCTATATTATACAAGTATTTGAACGTGTATGTACATGTAAATCGAACAAGAAGAATTTCCAAGTTTTCTGGACAATAAAGAATGAAGAATTGTTTTTTGACTTAAAGTCTGGATCAGTACAGTAAGAAGAAAGGAGATATGAAACAGGACAGAACTTTCACTCACAGGACAGGTTGAGTGATTCCAGGAGAGGATGGTTGATGCCTTCTGTGGCGGTAATCCTGTTGTTGGCAAAGCTTGCCACCTGTAGGTAGGGCAACTCATCCAGTTTAGCTGACTGAAGGAGGTTACGCTCACACTTTAAGGTCAGCAGGTGGGTCAGAGAGTTCAGAGGTGAAATGTCACGGAGCATGTTCATTGACAGGTCCACGTAACGAAGATGAATGAAGGAACTCAGAATACCAATGTCTGTTATTTCCCTGTAAAAATTTAAAATCACAAATTACATGTACATGTATATGGCTATCTGAATTACTTAAAACTGACTGTAAATTATGGCACAAAATCAAGAATTTGAAGTCATTCAAAAGAAACTAAATTATAACAGGGAAATAAACTAATGTTGCTCTGAGGAATTACAAATTGAGAAAAAATGAAACAAACTTCCAAAGCACAGTTAAGTCTGCTTTTAATAATGTTGTCACAGTTATTGACTGGTCCTCTATGACTCACCTGTCTTTGATGTCTAATCTGACATACGCATGGGCCAGACCACTGCCAATTTTAGCCAGTAAGGACAAGCATTCTCCAACTGCGTCTTCAGTGAGTGGGTTCTCTGGAACTTTCTAGATGTAATAATAACCATAATGGGGCTAGTACATGTAATTAGGTCAAGGCACACTGTTTTTTTATTACATTCAAAACTACATGTAGGCTAAGTCCACATAAAATTAAAATTTTCAGAAAGAGTTCCATACCCAGTCACCAGAAATCTTCCGTGAGATGACTTACAAACATGTAAGTGCTACCTAAAGTAAAAGTGTAAATCTAATGGAGTAGGCTACATTGTAACACTAAGTTAGGAGTGAAAAAACTTTCACTTTTCTTAAAAAAATACTGTCAGTGACCCATAATCTTTGTGCACATAATCTAAGGTGACAGATGGATGTGGAAATTATGGAACTCTGGAGGGATTTTTTTAAAATTAATTTATTGGGGTTTTTGGGGGGAGTCTGCAATTGTAAAATGGTGTGATTCCCACCTCATGAATACGAAGTCACAAGGACAATGTTGGCGCAGGCCCAGACTAAGATTTGACATGGTAATTTTTATTTTAATACCATCACATTTTTGGCCATTTTTGTACACCAAGGTGAAAAATAATTAAAAATTATAGAGGGGTAGAGGGGTTGGGGAGGGGGATTTAAAAAATGTAAAAACAGAGGTCGGCCCCTCTATTGTGGGCTTTCTAATGACTTTTCACTGAGGTGTAGGCCTATTAAAGTAAAATCTTGCCGTTTAAAGTCCCCCCTCGAAAAAAAATACAGTAACGACAGTTAGGCCCAGCAAAACATTATTTACTAGGGTCTTAAGTATGTTAAGGGCATAGCCTTAAGTCCTTAGCCCTAAGACTGAGGTCTAAAGTTGGGCCTACATGTAGGCCCCATTTGCCAGCGACGACAAATGGTTACCCTTAATATCCACTGCCACATTGTGAAAGATAACTAAGTAACTAAGTAGATGATTCTACTTATTTCATGGACAATACATGTACATGTAGGCTGGAAAGAGTTCATATACGGACACCACTTGACACTTTAGGCAGAAACCCCACGAGACAGGTCTGAAAGGGGACAAATCTGAATTATTGACTAAACTCTTAACCTTTACATCAAATGTGCCTGAAATTTCACTATTTACATGTAATGCACTATGAAACCGATGAATATATCCAACACTGTACCAAAACGTCGCAGTTATCTTTATCAAGTTGCAGCAAAAAAGAGGAAAACATGCAAATCCTGTGCAAAGTGAAAGGAGAGTTGCCCCTTAGCAGTGTTTCAGCTAGTGAGCCATGCAGCCTTGTTTTGCACGGCCAGTTTTGTGAAATCACGGCCCATTTTTTCAAGCCCGGCCTGGCAGTGCAAATCAAGCCGTGCACTACTTAATTTGACGCTTGTGTAAGCTACATATAGATCCCGAAAAATGTGAAAATAAAATCTGAGCTAAAATGCAGTCTTTTCCCATGCTTTTTCCCCCATCAACCAAGTCCAAAATAGAAAATACACTGCAGTAAAGTACATGCACACTGGGTTCAGACGTTTGGTTAAAATGTATCAACACCGGCAGGCGGGTTCCCTTACTTATAAATAATAAACTAAAGCATGCATCTATCAACTTGTAACAAAATGAATACAGGGAGCCATACTTGTTCACCAGTGATCGATCACACATGTAATCAACCTCATTCCCATGGCAATCGTTAGCCGCCATATTGCGCCTGCACTCTCGCACGAGGTAGTCCATGGGGACGAGGTTGACATATAACCATTTTGGGGCTTGTGCTGCGTGCTCACTACATGTATATCATCCAGAATGAAACGAAAAAAAAACATATTTCTTCTTGAAGGCAAGAAAGCATGAGCACGTGGTCTGCGGGTGGTGTATGTGGGTGCATGTACAGTGTGCATGTACACGCTCTATGTATGCATGTACTACACATATTTTTTCATCCACATTGAAGTCAAGTCTTGCACTCAATTTGCTCGTTCTTAGCCAAATTGCCGAAGGAAACATGCATGTACATGTAGTAATATTGGGATTCATTTTATATCAAATATATTTTATATCAAATATTCATTTATGTCAAACGGTTAGGCCTACTTTTGTACTTGTTCAACATTGAATGTCGAACATCAAACGAGGAATAAGTAGGCCTAGGCTTCGGCCTAACCAACTTTACACCGCCAAACCAACACCTCCGAACGGAGCAGACAACAAACATGACAAAGTCCAAATATGTCAAACTTAAATTTGGGCCTGGACCTACGCCCTCGCCTACCACCCTACTCATGGTTATTTTTTACCGACCTCTTCTTCTTCTTGCTCAGCTCCCTCCTCTTCTCCGCCCTCTTCCTCCCCCATCTCGGGCTCTTCGACTCCTTCTTGGTCCTCGTCATATTCCTGTTCTGAGTAGTCAGACATAATGATCACACGTGCAGCGTTCGATCAAAATTATAAACTTGACCAGACGACGCTGCCCAGAAAAAGTGCAAAATTGTGTACTGCAAGATGGCGGGTTGACATGGTGACTGTAGATTTGACCTGTGGCCGAAAGAGCCTCGTTCACTTTATGTTAAGTATTTAAACTGAAAAAAAAGTTAAATACGATAAAAAAAAGGGACAATTTGAATATATAATTTTATTGAAAGTTATTTAAGAAAACTGTATTCTTCAAATGAAACATACTTTCTAGAGTAAAAAGTACTGTCCATTTCAATTTTGCTTTTTTTTAACATCACGCAAATTTTCCCGCTGGTTTCACAATCGAGAACACGTACTAATCAACGAAAATGTCCGGAATGATGAGTACCAGCAAAATACGGAACTAGCTTTCTAGTCAAACAGCTGAAAATCATCATTGTTATTTTCCACAGCGCAAGAGCAAGAGCTCCCGAAACAACATGCATGCATGCGATGCGAGCAGACGAGATCGATCGTGTTGGCCTACGCACTAACCTGACGGCGTAATTGGAGCTGAAGTAAGTTTACTAGTACTACGAATGCGAAAATTTGGTAAGTGTTAGGGGACGGGGAAATCACTTTCTAACATGCCTGTTTAAAGAAGTCATTATAACTAAGCACCGTACCATACACTTGACAACAATGCTTGACTAATTCGTGCGGAACGTGATCTTTCGAAAGAACTTATCCTAAGTTTCATGCGGGAAGTCGTGAGTGATTTTTTTTAGTTAGCCTAGCCTGTCAAGAAATAGTCATGATTGATAGGCCTAGGCTACATTGTGTACATCGGGAATACTGGCTTACGTCATTTCTGCACATCTCTGTTTTACTTTTAAGACTTGAAATGAAAGGAATGTGAACAGGCAGGTTTACAACTAGGCTTACCACCAGTGTTACTTGAAATTGCTAATTTGCAAACTGTGTAGGCTTGGCCTAATCGTGCATAGTCCTAATGCGTAACACATGCATGACCATGATATCGTCGCCACGTCCCTTATTTCGCCAAAAACTGTGGAAACCAATCAGACCTAACAATAAATGGCGAAATTAGGGACCTGGCTACAATACCGTCATGCAAATTAATCAGAAAACAGGACTTTGCCCTGAGATATTTTAGAAGAGTAATTGCAGAACACCCCACCACTCTAAAAAAAAAGACCCCTGGAGTGACTGGTAACGTGGGTACAACTGTACAAGGTGAAAATCCCTTGGGAAGAGTGTTATACTTTGATCTGTATTTGGCTATGAGGTTGATCGTGTGCGGTGGTGGGGTATTCTGCAATTGAGCTACATGTATTTCGGGGCCCAGGCCTACATGTATGTTTTAGACAGGTGTACACGTACCCGGTAGGCCCTACTTGCTGGTATTTTGTTTCACTTGGTTCACATGAAGAAGGAGGCAAGTAATGCAAAATTTTACAAGGTTAACAGAAGTACTGTAGTTAAAAAATTGTCATCAGGAAGTATAACCCGGTATGTTGGGGAATTACTCAGGGCAGGAGAAAAAAGTAGAATTGCATCACTTTCAGTGTTTTTGAACTGATAGCTTCTGACAGAATTTGTGTTGACTAGGGCTACCACATGTTGGCAATGTGAACAAGCAGTCCTCCAACATGGTCTTCTAATATTAGGGGGATTTTAGGTGTTTTTGTTCGTTTGGTTGTTGTTGTTTTTTTAAGATATCTTCACTTTAAAATAGTCAGGTGCAGCTGTTTGGCACAATCTTGAATCTTGCATAAATTTATTGTACACTCTACATGTACTGCATCCTGAGTTGATTTTCCCGTGAAAAATGAAATACTTAACTCGGGAGGGAATACAATGAATTTGTGCAAGATTCAAGATGCACTGAGCAAAGGGAGGAAACTAAGCATTCCATGTGGCCAAGACAAGGTTCATTTTCATGTTTATTTCCATTCTTCTAATTAATTATTAATCCTTTTTGATAGCAAAAAAAAGGCAACAGTGAGTGATATACCGTACATGTAGTTGTATACATGCAATGTTTTATTGAGAAGACTTGCTAGGGAATTCTGCCTCCTATTAATCTTAGGCCCCTGCCATGTTGTCTTCAATATTTCAAAGCAAAAGAGCTTTGTGTTTTTTGAAAGTAACCCTCTGATTGTCTGCTTAAGCCCTCTTTCCACACAAGTTAAAACTGTAAAGCTTAGTTGGGCTACCATACTTGTGTGTGAGAATCCAGTTTTTAAGCTGATTTCAACTTGTTTTGGTTCCGATTTTCGCTCTGAATTTTAGCTTTTTGGTACAGGTACACCTGGTCTGTACAAAATTATGGGAACTTTCTAAATTTCAGCATTTTGCTGGCTGTTTTCTGCTTTTTTGGAATGCGACCACTCTTACCCCAGACTCTGGAATGACAGAAGTCAGGTACCACTAACTTGAAACTTAAATGCAGTCCCGTTAACAAGTACAAAGCTCATTTTATGTACATTAACAGTGGGTCGTTCGATTCACATTTACGTACATGTAGAGTTGTATATGTACATATACATGTACATTGTATGTACATGTGCTGTATTTGATATACATGTACATGTACACAATACCTTGTACATGTACGTTCACCTGAGATACACAATGTAAATTTTGTTACATGCAATTAATCAGTATGCAGGTACTACATGTGTTGAGTGTTTTCATACAATATCAGATTTCAGATGGTTAAGCAGGGTCTCCATTTTTCTGCAGCAGGTTGCATCGTGTAATTGGGGCTCGATCCCTGGCTAGCAGGTTACATGGCTTCTGATTAGCACCTCCCGAACAAAGATGTTCACAAATGTAAAGAGCCACCAGCCTAGGGCTGGATAGGTCAGTTGGTAGAGCAGCGGTATAGTAGCCCAGATGTTGCAGGTTCAAATCCCACTCCGGTCCCATTCTTCATTCGTCTTTATAATGCTTTGTACACATAATTACAAACTGTCAGTTTTAGGAATCCAAACCATATGGGTCAACTGTTAGACACTTCTCACATTTTGTATTTAATGATCAAACAGAGGATGGACAAAAATAACCACAATGAAATCCACCTTTGGACTTACGAAATAGCCTATAGGCTCAATGTGCTATTGAACAGGAAAAATGTCCCGGTATTTTTTTTTCTAATCAAATTCTGTGATGCGAATATTTATGTTATGTTACATTGACAACTTGCAAGATTTTTTTGTCTAATACAACTTTTATGTGATTACAAAGTGTTTGTTTTGCATATACATGTATCTGTGTACGTGTACATTTGCACACGTATTCATGTGAATAGTAATGATGGTGAAGTTCAACTTCTGCAGCATAAAAGTATGGAACCAGTCGAGTTACATTGGGGGGAAAAAAGGAGATAAGCTATTTAGTACAGCCAAATTTAAACTCCCCAGGGAACTTTTGTGCTTCGTATAGATTTATTGCCCATTCTGGAAATCATTTCTTGAAGATAAAAAAAACCGGTACTGTACTTCAGGCTAAACTGTGTATTGGTTGCATCTGAATAGGCTCTTTACAGAATTGAATGAAAGATCTCATTTTCGTGAGAAATATTCTTCCACAGGTCCAAGATTCGAAGCTGTTTGAATGGCTACTTTTATGAAGTATGTTAAGCATGAGAATATTGTCCATATGTGAAAAACTTGTGTTATTTGTAATGATGAATTACACTAATTTGTTGGTACAGAGCACATGTACCATACTCCAAATTCATCTTGCATACATATATGATACAGATGGTTTTGCAGATAAAGACTTTGTCATGGATTGGTGAATCATTTCAAAACTGCCATAACATGATCAGAATACATACACGTAGGTATAATAGCAATATGTAAGAAATGTACACAATTCTTTTGACTTGAACATACATGTGAAATTCTCTAAACATACATCTTTTTACAAAACTATCAGAAACTGTTTACTGTGATAACACAAGTCCACTGAAGTAACAAGGATTTCCCAAGTGGATTTTTTCTATTAATTGAAAAGGGTCTTATCTTGCGCAGAAACCGATATAGTAACATGTGGTTCATGGCCAGTGTACAGAGCATGCAGCAGCATACGGGGATATATACATGTATATACATGTACATGTATATCATTTATTTGAAATTTAATTATTTAGCTGATACTAACAAAATCCTGCAATGGCCTTCATACATTCCCCCTGTGTTACATCAACCTGTATTTATACCCAGCATCTGTAATTAAAACTCGGGTTATGGACGTGCATTAAATAAGGGTAGTGCCAACGGCTCTCTGACGTCAACCTGAACTGTGTGTACATGTATGAAGCAAATGATAGGATAGATTAAATTTTGTCATTTGAATAAAAGGCAGAAATAAGTGACTATGCACTGGGGTGTGATGCTGCCAACAGCTAGTGCATTTGACCTATTTTTATGCACATTATTTCCAGTGTTCATGCATTGATTTTGGTTGTTGTTTTTACCATCCGAGGATAAAGAAGGAAAAAAGGAGAGGGGTGCAATGTGGAATACAAGAGAGCACCCCCGGTTTCAGCCCGTCTTGCTTGTAAATTGAAACTGTATCACATTTCCATAAAGAATACTTGTAGTTCCGCTCGCTATCCACCGCCATTAGCCATGTCAGCCTTCTGGAAAATTAGAGTGGCAAGTATCTTGATGACATCAGTATACATGTGCAGATATACAGGTACCTTAAGCACTGCATACTGTACTTCACAGTGTACCAATCAAAACATCAAAAGTGGTTTTATTGTAGACTTTTTGGGGAAAGATTGGGTGACAGCCAGTAATTTTGTTCAAGCGTAACCGTACATCTGTTTGCCTGGTCACTTAAAAAATACTTAGAAATCCAACGCGTCATACTCTCAACAAAAAAAGAGAGAGAGAGAATATTCCAGGGTGAATAATAAGCTTTTTAGTGCAAAGCTAAAATCAACTTTGGTTACATAACCCCTGATAATGCACTCTATTGAATTAATCATCAAGCAAATGTTTGGTGCGCTGGGGAAAGAAGGCTGTTTAGCCTTTTTTTTCAGTGTGGTCTGTGGGAGGTGGCATTGTCCAGTTACAATGTCTGCCGCTGTTGTC